GGCCTGTCGGTCTAGTGGGGCCTGACAGATCAGGAGGGATTTTGCATATTTGAGAAGGGCTGGTGACTGCTTTTGAAATACACAGCTGAGTGATCCAAACAGAAACATCAGATATGCTCCTCACTTGGGTTCCCCAGATTCTTCTCCACAGGTGGAGATACAGAAGCTCCAGGATGGTGTATTCCTACCCTGTTTGGGCAGTGACCTCTGTTCTGAGCCTCTGTGGGTCCAGTTCTCCTTCTGCTCCTGCCCTGTCTTCCTGATGGTGCACTGGAGACAGGCTGATCTGACACCTCCTTTTGGGTGTACCTCTCCTTCTTTCCCCCCTGCAGATGCCCCATGCTGCGGGCTGCAGACAGCACCCAGGGGGGGTGTCCTCCTGATTGAAGTGGGGTCGGGTGGTAGGGAAGGTCCAGAGAAACTAGTTACTGCGGCTGTCCTTCCCCAAGCAGCAGCCCCCAAAGCAGCTCCAACCCTAGGGATACTGAGTGTTCTCCCACCTCCCAGATTCTTGCCAAGTCTCGCTGGAGCTAAACATCATTGGCACAAGGGCTCGAGACTGCCTGACTGGGGCTCTGGCATCACCCCAAACAGCAAAGCCATATAATGTCACCTTTGCAGCTCTGGTCACCAGAGGTTTAGTCTCATTTCAGAGTGAGTTACCTTAAAGGTCTCAATTAATTATCAGTTTAAACTTCTGTGGTTACAAGAAAACCAATGACCAAACACTGATCCCTTTCATATTTAAATCGACAAGCGTCACCTTTGCAGCTCTGGTCACCAGAGGTTTAGTCTCATTTCAGAGTGAGTTACCTTAAAGGTCTCAATTAATTATCAGTTTAAAGTTCTGTGGTTACAAGAAAACCAATGACCAAACACTGATCCCTTTCATATTTAAATCGACAAGTGGTGTACAAGGCGTTGCCAGGGATTTAAAAATAAATTAGAGTGGGCATCGCTCTTTAGGAGCTTGGAATCTGGTAGGAAAGCAAAGCACCAGCAGATTTACCTAGTCTTAGTTTTGCTTTTTGTATTTTTAACGTCTCCTGTTTTTCACCCTTGTCCTTTGTATGTCTTTTCAGGCTGGTTGTCCTAAGTGGATAAAAGCAGGAGTTCACGTAACAGGAGATGGCGGACACCGGGGACTTCATGGGTCAGGAGCCACACGCAGGTAACATTCCTGCGGTGTCCCCTAGTGAGTCAATAGGAACGATCACTGTTATATGAGCCAAGGCAAATGGGTTGGGACTGCAAGTAACTGTCATCATTGTTCCTTGTCCTTTATTCAGAAGCTGCTTTCTCATGACGAGTTTTAATAGTGAATGAATATCAATTATTTAAACAATAACCGAAATAGCCTGTTTTTAATGAGGTGAGCTGTTCAACCAGCAATTAAATTTGTAGGGTTTTCTGCTGTTTTAAAAAAGAAAGCTCCAGAAAATCACCTTGGACTCTCAGAAGTTAGCCCGTCTTAGAATGAGAGAGGTAAGGTCCCTGGAATAGTGTCAGGTGACTTTCCTCAGAAGGGTACATGTAAGCATGTTGGGGCATCCCCTCAAAGGGTAAATCATGTTGGAGTCAGTGTGGGTGGTCTCGCTCCCTCAGAAGGCTGGTGTGGGGCCTTTGGAGCCAATGGGGTAGACTTCCCTAGGAAGATGGTAGGGCAGTAACCCCCACGTGCAGAAAAGAGAGATGTATAACATTCTTTGTGTTTTGAGAATTGAAGAGGGAAAGTTTCCTCACTCTCAGGGATGAATTCCCTTGGAGGAAAGGCAAGTGGTGTTTCTGGTCCGTGGGGTAGTGGCCGGCGTCTGAAACATGGCTGGGCATGCAAACAGAAAGAATCGTGACTTTGGGCCCCTGTGGTTAAGCTTGGCCCTGAGGAGCAGGATCATTTTGCCTGGAAGTTCCCTGCAGTCCTGGCAAGGGTCTGAATCAACAGTGAACTTGAGATCCATTTTCAAAAGTGACACCTTGTGGCAGTAGGAAGCCACAGCAGCAGTATACCAAGGCCTCCATCCACTCCTACTGCTGTTTCCTGGGAAAAGTCAGTACAGAATGCTGGAAAAGGCAAGGGGGTGCTTGGGCCATTAAAGGGAATAATAAGAGTTGTGGTCCAGGTCCAGGCAACTCATTCCAGTTACAGTCTAATATAGAAATACTACCTTTCCATGGCATGAATCCAGGATGGAATGCTTTCTCCATTCCAGGTGGCTTTTCATTTTAGAAATTGAGGAAAAGTTTTAAACCCTGCTATTTTATCTGACTTGTTAACCTTTGCTTTGGTTGAGAAATAAGTTTCCAATCTCATCAGATTAATTGCCAACCCTTATAAAGTTGAAATAAGAGCCCTGGATATATGGACTTCTTCCTCGTTTTCTAAATATGGCTAAGAGTCTACACAGACACGTTTACATGAAAGAGTTCCTGTGTTACAAAGTTGACATCCTTTCATGTTCTATCCACAGACAGATCATAGAAACATCCTGGAATTCTGAGATTCCATTTGGAACACAGGCCAAAGTGTTCTACAGCCTATTCCTGGCCTAGGTGTCCAAGTAACATGTGCCTTTCCTCCCCGTCTCCTCTTCTCCAGCCCCCACCACTGTGCCAGCCACTACTTGGTACTTAGTTTGTATGTGGTCTGTAAACTGAGCCAGGGTGAGTTCCTCTGGGTGAGCTCAGTCATAACATCAGAAGGACTGAGATAGAAAGGAGTCAAGTATGAGGTCTTTTAGCTCCCTGTCACTGCATGAGCACAAGGTGGCAGAGACTCAGGCAGATAGCGGGGCTCTGTACTGGAATCCTCCGTGGTGTGCATTGGCTCCAGAATGCAGCAGAATTTGTGCTGGAAGACCCATGTCTGGAGCCCAGCTACGGAGGCTGGGCCTCCTGCTAGGGCTGCCATCCTGGGTCTCCAGATGAGGCTCCTTCTCTGTGGTTCCTCAGGGAAGATGACCTCCTTATATCACACTCAGTTCCGGAGCTTCATGCCCACCTTCTGTGAGCTTAGAGTTATGACACTTGGGAATCGACTCTTCCAGTTTACCCCACAGCCATCTCCTGAGGCACGTGTCTGCCCTAGGAGCCCTGGGTTAGAACCATTTCCAACAAGCACCTGCCTACTGCCCCCTTCTAACCAGGTGAATACCACCAAAGTGTGTTTTCTTTTTTTTTTTTTCCTTTTTTTTGTCTTTTTTCGTGACCGGTAAGGGATCACAACCCTCAGTGTTGCGCCCGTACCGCGACCAGCAACGGGATCACAACCCTTGGTGTCACGCCCGCACCGCGCTCAACCAGTGAGCGGACCGGTCTGTATATGGGATCCGAACCCTTGGCGGGAGCGCCACCGCGCTCCGAAGCGCCACACTCTACTGAGTGCGCCGCCGGGCCGGCCCCAAAGTGTGTTTTCTAAAGCCCATCCAAAACACAACATTTTGGTTATACCCTTGCCTTAGGATCATGGGCCCCACCAGCCTTCACTTCATAACTAGTAGAAACCACTTAAGTAATTGAATCTGCAGAACTACAAAGATCCACTTCTCATTGATTTCTATTCTTGCCTATGTAAGGAAGCAGCTGCAAATGTCTCTCAGTGAGGAAGGAGAAAAAATCCCCCCCAATTTAATCTCTGAAGGGCATCCATTTTATAGGGCACCCTCTAAAACTCTTGTAATAGTTATAATTTTGTTAGTGCTCTCATTTTACAGATGGAGAAACCAGTGCTTAACGAGCAGTGATCTGCCCTGGCCATGTAGCCCGCCGTCTTCTCTGTACTCTACGTCTGACCAATTGCTTTCCTAGTCTGAAAAGACCTCCCAGGAGCCTTTCTTCACCACATCCTTAGACCCGTCCTGGGCTTTTCTCTGTACAGTTGGTTGATTTCCTAAAACTTGGCTTTTGGTGAAGAATGTTCAGCCACTTTGGCTTCTGAGGACTTCCAAACAGGAACTTTTCGTTTGGGAAGATATGTTGAACTCTACATTTTGGAACTAAATGCAAAAAGTCCTATGACTCTGAGAAGTAGGAACCAAACTAGAATGACCCAACAGTGTTCTTTTCCAAATGAATTTTTTGGCAGATAGACCTGGCAGTGGTCCTCTTAGACTCTTTGGGTTTCTGCATTGATAGAGGTAAGGCAAAGATACCGTGCCCCAAGACCCCTGGTTTTATATAACCTCTGTTTATCTCTAGATGACAATGATTTATTCAAAGAACCAATGAGAAAAAGAAGACGATCAGATCGAGAGCAGCAATTCCGAGCATTTCCCTCAGTGGAGCAAAGTGCTCTTAAGGAATGTGAGTATTGTGGAACTGTTGCATAGCTTGTTTTAACGTGGCTCTGTTCTCTCCCAAATGTGTTCAATGCTCAAAGGAAGAGAGGTTAGATCCTGAAGCCGGAAGAAACATCTTTGAATGAACCTCATCCAGAAAGAGAGGTGCTATGGATTGAACTGTGTCCCCTGAAGCCCATGTATTAGAAACTTAACCCCCACTGTGACAGTGTTAAGAGGGTGGGAAATCCTATTATGGTCATTGAAAGGGGGTCCTTGAAGAGGTGATTTGATTGTGAGGCCCATGCCCTAGTAAGTGGATTGATCCATGGATGGTTTAATGGTTGTCATGGATGTGGTTCTGAGGGTTTTAAAAGGAGGGAGTGAGGACGTAGCTCTCTCTGCTTCTGCCATCCGCCATGTGACACCCTGCTTTGCTGTGAGGAGCCACTGCCCAGCAATAAGGCTCTCACTAGATGGGTTCCCTGGACTTTGGACTTCTCAGCCTTCGAAACTGTAAGCAATAAATACTGTTTCTTTATAAATTACCTAGTTTCAGGTATTTCATTATAAGCAACAGAAACAGAGTAATACAAGAGGCTTCAAAGTCTCTGCAGAGATATGTAATTGGACTATTTATTTCTAGGTGTCTCTGGGTAGGAGGGTTGTTACCAAGATAACCTTTTCCTGATTAGAGCAAAGACTGTGAAAGTGATTCGTCTGGTGCTCTGGTGGGTGTTTACTTGGTGTCCTTGTACTTTTTTCTTTTCATGATCCCAGGAGAGAAGACTCTAGAAGGGGCTAAAGCCTATGGCAAAGCACATGATGACTTCTGCTACAAAGAGCTGCAGAGCGGGCTGGCTCTTTGGAGGTTCTCAGAATCAATGATTGCCATCTCCAATGAGCTGTTGTCTCTAGCCTGAGACAACTTGCTACCTTGTTTAACTGACTTTTCATTTCATTACTTTTTTGTCTCTTCTGCAATATTCAGCAAACTCCTTCTTCAGAGACCTGGTCCTTGATCCCTGCCAGGTGTGCCCCTGGTAATACATCTCTGTCGATTCCAGATGAAAAATTGGAGTCACGGACCAGAAGAGTTTTGAGCAACACTTACCAGAAACTTATTCAGTCTGTCTTCCTGGATGACAGCATCCCTAACGGAGTCAAGTATCTCATGTGAGTCTGAGACCTGCTACTGTCAAATCTTAGGTCGATGTCTTTCCTCAGGTGATTGTAGGTGCTTTTCCCAACAATGAAAGGGAGTTTTCAATCAGAGGCTAAGGAGGCTGGGCATCTCTGTAGCCATGGGCCACTGCTATTATTACTGGTAGCTGCCGTTCACTGAGCTATCATCAGGTAGTCTGCCAAGTACTTCACATATATCAAATTTCATCAATCCTCCCAACACCCTTATAAATAGAAGCTATTATGATCATCCCCATTTTACTAAAATTGAGGCTCAGAGAGGCCAGGACATTACTCAAAGTCACATGGTGGTAAGTGAAAAGGCCCAGAATCAGACCCAGGCTGTGTGCCTCTGTGCCCCCAGGTCTTTGTGCCAAGCTGAGTGGAAGGACTTGATTGGTGCTGAGGCTACAGTCTCTCCTGCTCACTGAGACTCTGTGTTGCTACAAATACTGTTTTACCTCTGCATAAATTTTATTTCTAGGGTCAAGAGTATGCAATTTCTATAGGACACAAATAAAGATGCCTCATTTATATATATGCATTACAGAGTTTGTATAAAATTATCATTATCAAATATTTTTGCACAACCCCACTTGATCCCAAGGCCAACTCTGTGTGGTAAACAGGCACCGATACTCCCCTCTGACTAAGGAGCGAGCAGAGACCCAGGAGGATGTGGTGACTTGTGCAGGATTAGAACGCAGCTCCTCTGCATTCTGTTCCCGTGTTCTTCCCACTACACTTTGACGATGGTGACAAGGTGCATTTTTAAATTGACCTAGAAACAGGCTTCTCATCCTGATTGAAAAGCCACCATTGGACCCGATCTACATTGGATTACTTGGCAGCGCTGGGGCTGGGAAGAGCTCCCTGATCAACGCCATCACCCAGCAAGCAATGTTTCTACCCGTGTCTGGAGAAAGCGTCTGTACTTCATGCATAGTACAAGTGAGCTCGGGCTGCCGCGAGCAGTATGAGGCCAAAGTCCACCTTCTCTCTGACCAGGTAAGTCTGGCCATCCTTCCCTCCTTCCGTCCTCCTGCCCTTCCTCTCCTCCTTCCTTCTTTCCTCCTTCCCTTCCTTTTATTTCTTTCCTCCTCACTTGCTCTCAGAGATTAGTATTGTATTTTCTGTAAATACAGCTCATGCCGTGTTGAGTGAAAAGGACATATCATAGAATGAGAAGGTTCAGTAGAGTGAGACATGGGTTCTAGCTCAGGTCCTATCACAGCTCATTATGGGACTCTGGGCTGGCCATTTCCATCTCTGGGCCCCTGTTTCCTCATTGACAAGACAAGGGGGTTGGATTAGATGACATGCAGCCCCTCTGCCCTCCACAGGGGCAGGGCGTGCCTGCCTTTGTCATCGTCTTCTGTATCTGTGACATGAGGGGCTTGGCCCGACTCTGCCTTGGCAGGAGTGGAAGGAGGAGCTGAAGAACTTGACTCAGCTCCTGCACAGGACGGAGGAGCTGGGTGGAGCAGAGGCAGGCACCTGGGACAGGGACGATGCAGTGCAGGAAGCCACCTGGAAGCTGCAGACGGTTTACGGAAATGGGGCAGAGAGGAAGAACTACGAGGAGTTACTAAGGGCCAGGCCCAAAGGGAAGATCCCCACCTCCAGAGTCGTCACCCTCAAGGCAGAAGAGGTAGCTTCAAGATTTTTTCTCCTTATTTTATTATGGGTCTGTTTAGGGTTCTTGCTCAAGATACAGTGTTTATATTAGAAATAAGATGATACCCAAATCAAAAGTATCAATGGCTTTTAATAATGAAAATTACTTTCATTATTTATGGCTGCCAAATGGGAATTTTTAGTGTCTGAATGGAGGACCTTTTATGCACAGAAAAGACTAGTTACTAGTCTGTAATCAGGGATGCTTTGGGCTGCAAATGATAAAAAAAATGACTTAATGGCTTGAACAAGTGAGGGCTTATTCATTTTCTCATTCAAGAAGCTTAGAGGCAGTCAGGGTCTTGGCTTTGTTTACTCGTTCAACAGAGTCAAGATGGGCATCTCTTTGGTTCCCTTGGCCTTCCATCATCCTCATGGTGGAACTTCCAGCTCTCTGCTGAAGTGCTACACTTCACAGCTAGCCTCATAGAAGGAAGATGTGGATGAAAAGTTGGCACCAGCCACATCTTGCCTTTCACCAGGAAGTAAAAACTTTCCCAGAAATGCCCCTGACAAAGTTTTCTATAGATTTCCTTGTTCAGGACTGAGTCACATGGCCCTTCCTTGCTAATAGGGAGTCTAGAGAAAGTAAGCAGACCTGTCATGTTTGGCTTAGATCAATCTCACCCCACTGCCTCTCCAAACAGACAGAAAATCAGGATTCTGCTGGCATAGAAGGAGGACAGGATGGATATTGGACAGACAACCAGCAGAACAATATTCCTGCTTTTATAATTAATATTCATTTTATTAAGTTATAATTCAGTTTCTAAATTAAAACAGAATATTTGTGGAGCCAACATTCAGTAAAGTTGTATATTTAAAAATCTAGTTTTTCTTAAAATTCATCTAGTATCTTAAAATTCATCTTTAGAATATTGTCATTCTATTTTTAAATCTGGAAATTTTGTATAAACTAAGAATGATAACTTACACTTGCCCTAAAATTTAATGTTCAATTATCTCCTGATTAACAAAGCAAATCCTCCTTAAATATTTAATGCTACTTATGTGATTAATCAAATTTTGTTAGGCTTTTTTTTTTATTACAGTTAAAGCTTAATGTATTTGATTTTCAAAATATTTTAAGTACTTGACTGGGCACACTTAGGAATCAAGTGAAGGAAATCTTTTCAAAGTACTTAGCCATCTCATGTATGTCTAGGAAATCGAACAAACATCGTACCCATTTCTTATATTTAAATGGATATTACTATTAAGAATGATGACATTCCTGATACCTAAAACATAGGACTGAGCATATTCAAAGAAATATGATGATTACAACACTGGTTACTTTATCTGAATCATACAACTTACACAAAGGTATCAACATAATATTCATTGTCACCAGCTCTACATTTGGACATATTCCTTCCCAGCATTTCAGATTTACCCATTGAAACAGGGGAACAGAATTACCGTCTCAATGAGTGAGGTCACAAATTCGGAGTTTCCATAGATTCCAGACTGAGATGAGGGAATCCGAGTCTGCCTTCTGTAATGGTGTACCCTGAGCCACATTCTAGTGGGCTGAGTCCTTTTTTTTGTGGAAAGGGGCTTTTCAAGACCATGCCTTTTCCTGTACTTCCCTCCCATTGTATTTGCTCTTTATTTTTTAAATTAAGATATCTTAAAGAGCTTTTACTATTCTCTTTCACAATTTGTTGTTTGATTAGAATCGATGAAATCTGTTACTCCCCACCTAGATTGCAAGAAATCCACTGATTTGATCTAAACTCTTGTAAGAATTTCTATTCTTATCTTTCTTTCAGGACCATTCTGTAGATACTTATATGACCATGACCACCATACATCCCAAATCTCTGCCCCTGAAGTGCCCAGTTGAGACTCACTGCCATAGTTGCTGGCAAGAACGTGCCACTGTCCAAAAATATGTTTCAGCAGAAACAGTAGGCTGTTTTTACCTGCCTTCATTAAAATGTCCTGGAAATGCCCACATATCAAGATTATTTTTATACATGTAAGATAAAAATTTAAAACCTTTTAGTAAGATCAGTTTTTAAATCAATTTTCAATTTGGAAGATATGGTCACCATACCACTATCAATTTTCTGTAGTCACTGCTGGCTTTCTGGTAATTAAAATGTTCATGTTAGCTATGTAGGAAGAATCCTCTTTCTCCAAAATTTAGAAAATGCGTATTAATTACATTAATTTAAAATTGAATGGAATTTAGAAGGCAGATTTATTATTCAGTGGTGTTTTAACTTCCCTGTAGTCTCCATTGCTGCTGACGTTGGTTTCATGTGTAAGTTAAGGAGCCCACGGTTCCCGACCTCCAAGGCCCTTCCTAACTCTCACATCCAGACCCTTGCAGGGCGGATGACAGGCACTCATCCAGTGCACTTCTTACCATCACTTAGCACACCTTCGATGAACCTGCATCCCAACCAACCCAGGACAGAGGAGCTGGGAGGGTGGCTGGAGTGGGTGGGTGGCTTTGTCCTTCTTCCTCAGGCAGGAGAGCTGTCCGCCAAGCTGGACCCCTATATCCGGACTCAGAGGAGAGACTGGGATGGAGAATCAGCTGAGACTCATATCTGGCCCTTGATCAAACACGTGGAAGTGACCCTTCCCAAATCTGAGCTGATTCCAGAAGGGGTTGTGCTGGTGGACATCCCAGGCACGGGAGACTTCAACAGCAAGAGGGACGAGATGTGGAAAAAGGTGACTCTCCTTCACAGGGCTCCACTTTCCTTTCCCTCTGCTCCTCTGCCCTTTCTAAAGCAATAAAGAATGCCCTGCTTTCAGCTCAGGAAAGTTTATGAGTTCATTGGAATTAAGTTCAGCTTTCCGTGTTCTAAGCCTCAGGGCAGTGGCAGGATATGTGCAGCCTGAAAAATTGGGGATGGAGGAATCATGGAGTAGGCCTGGTATGTGGAACAAGAGTGTGTGATGTATGAGGAGAGCCAGCAATAGAGTGGCCTAAGAGCGAGCGAGTCAACGAGGACGGAGTGGCACAGGGAGGCCAAGAGGTGGGTACAAAGCAGAGAAGCCAGCAGCCGATCACCAAAACCACGAGGCTGCAGCTGTGTTGGTTGTAAGGCACAGAAACCCATTAAAGCAATCCCAGATGAAGAGGGGTTTATCAAAGGGTATCAAAGGATCTCAGGAGACACAGCCAGGCCTCAGGGCCACCTCTCGGGATCGAAGCAGCTATTCTCCCTCTTATTTTCTGCATGGTGTCTTGTGACTCTGTTTCTCTTTGTTCATCTCTCTGCAAAGCCCTGCTTCTCTCTTAGTTTTCCCTACTTAACCATTAGGCTCCACATTGTGGAAAATGACCACCCTAGCCCCATCTCTAAATGACCTTGAAGCTTATGTGCCTGCCACTGTCTGACTATAGTCTTTTCAGCTTAAATTCCTGAGAAGAAAAGTCTGATAGGTGATTGTCCAGCTAATGAATTAGCTCTCTGAATTAAGTACCCATTCCTAGTGCAGTCAGCTGTGGCTGACAGTGGTGGTTTGGATGAAGGCCCAACCCTTTAGCCAAAGGCTAGGGTAGGGGTTCAACTCCAGCAAACGGAATGATCAGGCACCTCCAGATGTGGGTACCCCAGAGAGTTAAGCGTGAGGGTAGTTAGATCTGCACCTAGTGATAAGAGGTTGAGGTATTGATTGCTAAGAATATATCTTTGTTCATTTATTTTGCATTTACCAACCATATACCATATATTGAGGATGCAAAAATTATAGCTACAACTAATAATAGCAGACATTTACTAAGCATTTACTTTGCACTATGTACTGTTCTAAGTGAAGTAATTTACCAGTTATAACACTGGGATGATAACCCAGGCAAGATGCCTTGAGAGCCTCTGTTCTTGACTCCTACTGTATCCTATGTGATAAAACAAAAGTCAATTGAAAGTGAATGAAAATTTGCAGGGCATGCCCTCTTATGTTAAAGAGCACATACATCTGTGTGTGTGTGTGTGTGTGTGTGTGTGTGTGTGTGATGTTTGTAAATGCACAGCAGAAGCAAGACCCTGATTTCTGGGAGGACACACACCCGACTGTTAACAGTGGCTTATGTGTTTACTGCTACTCTTTACTGCTTACACCTTTGTATTGTTTGCATATTTTACATGAACATGTATTGCTTTCAACTAAAAAGTTGAAAGCAAAGTAAAATAATATTGAATGAGAAGCAGGGCCTTCCCACGAGGGGTTTAGACTCTGACGGGAGAGTTAAAACACAGAGATAACTAAATAAATGGCAGAAAGTGATGAAAGAGAGGTACAGGGTGCTATGAGCACTCAAAAGTAGAAGTTACCTCCCACAAGTGATCTCATTCCATCAGCAAACACCCATTGATCTCTACTCAATTTTGTAGGAGTCCTTGTCCTTGGGAGTCTCATAGTCCACACTGATTAATCAGCTGTGCTGCTTACAGAGGAGACCACAGAGTGATTAATTTCCGTGTGGAGCTGGGTAGGGCTTCAGAGAGGACATTGAAGCTCAGCCTCCACCAGGCAAAGAAGGGGGCTGGGAGTGGACCCCCAGCACCATTCCAGGCCAAAGAGCAGCATGAGCAAAGACCCAGAGGGTGTGGAAGCTGGTGTGCTGAGGGAGGGTGGGTCTTCCTGGGTTCCTGGAGGAAAGGGGCTGGGGGATGTAGAGGAGAGAGGCGGCAGAGGACCAGCCTGGGAGAGTTGCTGGGGGGCTTTAGGTTCCTGTGCCAGAGTTTGGCTTTCTGGGAAAACCTGAAGGACAAGAGGAACTGGAGCATATGACAGAGAAAGATAGGGCAGGTAGGAGCACAGGATGGGAACACAGGAGCACAGAGCCGGAGCTGGAAGGCCTGGGAGGGAGGACCAGTGTCAGTGAGTCATGAGTAGTACAGCCACTGCCAAAGAATTCAGTTGTTTAAACTCTGCAGATTGTGCTAAATGAGTGACTGTGGGGCCGGGCAGCTTTGTGACTTTAGTTTCCAATCACCGTCTAGAGCGGGATGACCACTTACAGAAAATCTAGCCTACACCCTGATTTTGCAGATGAAGAAATGAAGGCTCAGAGAGGGGAAGTAACTTGCTCAAGACCACACAGCTAGTAAGCGGCAGAATTTGAGCTGGAGAGCAGGTTTCCTAACTCCCCAGCTGGGGCTGTATCTGCCACTCCTCCCTTCAGGGTGCCCCCTTTATCTGCGTCCTTTAAGATGAAGGCAGTCCCACCCAGTCCTTTCCCTTGCTCAGCCGGCTTAGGCCTGGCCATGTGAGCCTTAGTTTCCACAGGGTCTCAGCTCTCGGAGTAGAATCATCAGCCTCTGCTAGTTCCAGGCCAGGCCAAGGGAGTGACGGCCCCGGGAGGCAGCCAGGCTCTCTCACCAGATGGAGCTTGGTTGCAGCCAGTCCAGATACACCGGGCAGCTTATCAAAGCCAACAGATCTGGCTCAAAACACACACTCTGAGGAGGTCAGGCTGTGCTCTGCATGGCCTTGGCTCCTCTGCGTTCTTGTGGTTTCTCCGTGTTTTCCTCTCACGAGAAGTTACTAAAGACCCCCCTCTTTCCAAGGAGAACAGATCACAGTCGCTCTTCCTCAGCCTCCCCAGCTGCCAGTTTCACCTTCCCTGAATCTATTATGAATTCAGATGTCGTGGTCTGCCACTCAGAAGTCCTGTGATTTTAGGCATGTCATCTAACGCCTCCGAGGCTCTCGTCATGGGGAGGGATGGAGGTGGGTGGCGGGGCATCGTCCCACCCACTCATAAGCCCAGGCCTTGTTTTATGGATATGCTTTTCTGTGTTTTCTGCAACTCTAACTTACCAATTCCTGGCAGTCAGGAGCTGTGTGTGCGGCCTGAAATTTAACCACTGCAGCCTTTATGATTGCAGTGCTTTTCTCACATTAATAGACATTATTAAGAACCTGTGGTTTACCAGACCATGGGGAATACAAAGGTAGAAGAGGCCCTGCCTTGGAGGAGACCCCAGTCTGGTATCATTACAACCTTTCACATCTGCTTGGGCAATTCACTGCCCACTGTTGACACTGAAGAGCCAGAAGCTTCTCGAAGTGGATTATAACTTGGGAAGTGGGAGGACAGCGATAGCTTTTATTCTCCAGTCTAAATGTAAGTTCATTCATGAATAGAGGAGGGTCAGGATCCATAGCTGTGTGGCCTTAAGTGAGTCCCTTTACCTCTTGGGACCTGTTTACTTCTTTGTAATCCAAGGGGTTTGTCTAACTCGAGATGCTTTTTAAACAATGATCTATGGAGCAAAAGATTCATGGACGGGGTGGGGGGCACTGAGCAGATAGTGGTACCAAATCCCCCTCTCCCAATTCAACCAGAGCAGTTCTCTTTTTAAAAATTGAGTTTATCCATTGGAATTCTTCCTAAGATTTCTTTCGAAAAAGGCTTTAAAACACAAGTTTGTAACCCTCTGCCCTAGACTGAGGTTTCTCATCTTCTTTGCATTTCAGGCCAGACACTTTGTTGTGGGGGCTGTCCTGGCATGGTGGGGGATTTAGCAGCATCCTTGGTCTTTACCCACTGGTACCACCAAGTTGTAACTATTGAAAATGTCTCCAGACATTGCCAAATACTGTATTCTCTGGGGCACAAAATCTCTGCTAGTTAAAACCACAGGTATAAAGCACAGTAAAGATTTAATTATCAAGTCAAAATCTTGTCACACATTTATGTGCAAAGCACTGTTCTGAGGAACCACAAATAAACTCAGCCTGAGTTAGCCCAGCTTTGCATGTACATGGAGATAGGACAAGTGGAACGTAAGAAAGGGGGAGTGTCACAAGGCAGCACATCGTTGCTCGCCACACGAAGGTTGAACATGTGATAAAGCAATGTGTGTGCTATTAATGAGTTGTAATTTCATGTTCATTGGCCTTTGCAACTTGGATCATATGGTTCCTGGCTCCCTGCTGCCACAGGGTGGCATCATGCTACACACGCAGGGACAGTGAAACATCAAAACAATGCCACGGGATGACAGCTTCGGGGTGGATGGATGGCCAAGACTCATTGTGGAAAAACAGTAATTTTCCCTAAAGGACAGCTAAGGTAAAGTAAGCCAGGGATGGATCTGGGACTGGAGGACTAATTTCTTGAATTCTCTCAGTCACTAATGCCATGAACATCTGTGAAGCTTCTCGTATTGGCCAGGCACTGTGCTGGAGGTCATGTAGATTCCCACGGAAGGTGTGGACAGCCTCTTCCATAAAGGGGCAGAGGACCAACCCTATATAGGAACTGTGTCTAGGAGGTTCTATGGTAGGTCAGTCTGGGTGCTATAGGATACAGAGGAGGTGGCTAACCCATCTGCAGGTGGTCCTCAGCAAATGGAGCTAAGCCCGGGTCATGGCAAGTGCAAAGGCCCAGAGCGTTCAAGAGCAAGGTGCACTGAGAAGCTGCAGGCAGCATCTGGCTGGAGTGCAGAGTGCAGGGGACAGCAGGGAGGGGTGGGACTGTTGAGGGAGGCAGGCGTGGTAAGACGTTAAGGGACTGTGTCCTCTGGAACTGAGATGCCATTCACCTTCTGACACGTATCGTCATGTTCCACAGACCATCGATAAATGCTCAGTGATCTGGGTGATCAGCGACGTAGAAAGAGTTTCAGGGGGAAGAGCCCATGAAGACCTTCTGAATGAGAGCATCAGGGCCTGCCAGCGGGGTTCCTGCAGGGACGTTGCCCTGGTGGTCACCAAGACTGACAAACTCCACTTGCCGGAATACCTAAGGTATCATGCTGGGCTTGCAGGGACGTGTTCCCCAGCAAGGGCTTTACTCCATAGGTCCTCACTGCTGTAACAACAGAGCTGGGCTTCACAATGTGGTGGTCATCTCAGGCCTTGGGAAGTGACTGCTGATGATGAAAGAGAAGTCCAGGTGACTTTCTGGGACATCAGGACCTTTGGTTGGGTTGTCTGGGTAATCTGAAACATGCAACCCCTCTTCCAGGGTGGCTGCTTAGATGTCAAGCTGCTGACCTTTACTCAGCTTCAGGGATGCCACTCATATATATAAGATGCAAACAGCACCTCCTGGATTGTGCAGCATGGTGGTCCCACCTGCCTCCACAGATATGCAAAGTGTAGATGCCCCCGCAAGTGGGAGGTACATTCTGTAACTCTGTCTGGTATGGTACAGCTTTGAAGTATCAGATTCTATTTCTGATTTGTCTACTCCCAAGATTTTTTAATTCATTTGGAGCAGGTCCTCAAGGTTTTAGACCTTTGGCCAAAAGTAGAAGCATTCTCTTACAGTGTTATTCTTACAAATAATAATGAAAGGAAAGCATTTTAGATTTAATAGATGTTAATAGAGTTGATTTTTATGTAGCTCTCTGTTGCCCCTGTAATTAAGGAGACTGTAACTTATCTTCCATATTGGGACACCTTTGAGAGTGAAATGGGGTGTTATTAGTCCTTCCAGAGGATCCATGGGTATTAACTGGGCTGTCCTGGGAACTTAGGGTGTGGGGTCACAGGACACCATGATGTTGATGCTTCTGTGCTCTAACAAGAGCTTCTTCCCCTGTCCCCTTGTCTGTTTCCCCCACACCAACTGAAACATAAGTCTGGCTGCTGTCTCCAGGAATTAACCTGCTCTCGAGGTCTGGGTTGGAATTTCAGCTTCCTTTTTTTTTCCCCTATAGTTTTTTCCACCCCATCCCCACCCCCCATCACAGAATAATATCTCAAGCTTTCCTTTTCCAGTGCCAACATTAAAACTAAACACAATGAGATCTAATTTAGTAACATGTATTGAACACCGTGGTAGGTTGCAGATTCAGAGGCACATTGCCTGGTCTCTGAGCTCATGGTCTGAAAGAGGGTTAAAGGCTACAGGAGAGGCATGAGCCAAGCGCTGTGGGGACCCAGGGCCAGAGGACTGTGTTTGACTGAGACGGGGGGGTAAGTCACAGAAAATTTCACAGGTGACAAAACGCTGGCTTGACATTGAGAAATGGATACATTTTTCAAATGGACACTGGAGGTAGAAGAAAGGGCATTAGGTCAATGGCAGATTAATTAGAGCTTATGCAATGGCACAGAGACATGACAGTATGTACTGCTTTCAGGGAAAGTCGAAAGACTGCCATGACATATGAGAAAAGTTAAGTAATTGTTACATTTTCTAATTTCATTTCAGGGAAAGAAAGGCAGGAAATGTAAGTATAGACTAGTTATTTTATTTTTATTTATTTATTTTTGTTGGCTGGCTGGTACGGGGACCCAAACCCTTGACTTTGGTGCTATGACACCACGCTGTAACCAACTGAGCTAACTGGCCAGCCCCAGACTACTTATTTTTAAAAATTTCTTTTATGATTGATATTAGATAATTCTGATATATGCATGTTTGACTGTCTGGGCCAAATGAAGATCTGCCAAAGATATGTATATCTTAGTGCTTTGTCCTTGTTGATAACCCTGGACTTTTTGGATGTTTTACTTCCTTTCACAACCTAGCAAGCTATTCAAAGTCAACGAGAGGCTGTTTTAGAAAGAAATGAAATGATAAGACTACAAAGGAATAGATTCCTCAAGGAAAAACTGAAGGTGAGTTAACAGATTTCCTTGTGTATTTTTCTGATTCTCAGCCACCAGATTTGGAGAAACGAACGTGTGTTTAGTCTTGTGTAGCAGCAAGGGCAAAAGCTTCAGAGTGGACGACTGGGACTTAACCCAGTCCTCCTGCCTAATACCTTTGGGACCTTAGGCAAGTCACGTTACCTCTCTGAGCCTCCCCTTTCTCATCTGTAAAATGGGAGATAATATCTACTTCCTGTGGTTGTTGGAAGGATTGAGTGAGCATGTGGTCTGCTGAGGACTATGTCCAGGTAAACCGGGCTCACCATACAGTTTGGGGTGTGCTTTGATAGAGCGCCATGGATCACAGAGGCAATGTTCAAACCACACTGGCAGTAGCAGGAGGTGGTCGGGGGGAGAGATTTGGGGAACACTCCTCAGACTGTAGAGTAGAATTTTGAACAACCAGTAGTCTTTGGCAATGTAAAGAAATAAAGGATGGGCATTTGGCAGGGAGGCAGGAATGTGGTTGGGATAGGCTGCCTTGTTTGGTGAACTAGATGAGAGTAGTTTTGAACAGCTTAGCAAAGGGCATGTGAAGGGGCGTGTTGAGAAAGGTCGAGCTGCAGTTTTCAAGCCTGAGTAATCATTCAGTGAGAATCTTAGTGGTTTCTTAAATTAGTTTTACTATTTTGTTGTTAAAATAGATACGAACATGAAATTCCTTATTGTAATAGTCTTATGCAACTATAAAACTGAAGTCTATTTTAAGATTAAATATAAACAAAACAACCCCTAAGTCAGGGCTGGCAGTTAGCTCAGTTGGTTAGAGTGTGGTGTTATAACACCGAAGTTAAGGGTTCAAATCCCTGTCCTGGCCAGTGGCCAAAACAAAAACAAAGAAACAAAAGCGATAAATCAGAGTAAATATAATGTGGTAGTTGATATGGTTTTGCTGACTCTAAATCTTCAGTACTGGGTTCAATAGTAAAAACATTTGGCCTTGTGTCCAGTTCTATACAAAATTGCTTTCTGTATTTCAACTTCACTAATATTGATATAGAAAGTGTCTGTTGCACAACGTGGAACTGAAAACTTTCTTTTCTTTTTAATTCAGAGTAATCAGGCCTCATACTTAAGCCAAGGTCTCTTACCAAGCAATTCTACCAAGCAATTCTTGAATGCCAATTTTAATGAGGCTGTACCTCAGTAAAGCTGTTCTTACTCTCTTGGATTGTTGGCATTAAAGAAATATGCATTTTATGAGTAGCTAGTCATATTATTTCTGGAACTGGAAACACAATACTTCAATGTACAATTCACTACTATGTTTATTACTAATAAACGTGGCAAATTGGTTTGTATGAGCTAGGGTCTGGGCAGCAATACATCAGCTTGCAAAGTTACTACGTTCTCGTTAATCTGATACAAGTTCTTTTAAGATCTGTAACCACACCTCCCACAGCTAGGTGATGGCTTGGTTCTGTGACCATTTTATTTCAGTTTGAATTATTGTGAAACCTTTCCTTGTACTGCACGCCTTCATTTGGAGCAAATTTAATTTTAATCATAGAAAATACTTGTATGAGGCAGAAGTTGATTATGATACGGTTGATTATATTCATATAGCCATAGGTCTATATTTGTTTTTAAAATTATAAAAATGAAAATTATGAAAAAGTGTTGTAAGAAAAATTATAGACCCCTGAGACTACATTTATGAATCTCTGTTTGGAAACGCTCTGCATTTTAGAAAGATTGTTTTCTCAGCAGTATGGAGAGTGGGTGGTGGGGAGGAGGACTGGTGAAGGCCAGGTATGCAGAGACCGGTCAGGAGGCTTTTCTGTGATCTAGGCGCAAAGTGATCAGAACCTGAACTGGGCACGATATGAACAGAAAGAGGGGGGTATTCAGTTGATGTTAGGGTTAAGTCTTCAGGTTTGGAAGATCGATTACATGTGGGAGATAAAAAAGAGAAAGGACTTGAGGTGACTGCTAGATTTCTGGCTCGGGACAAAATCAGGGAATGGTGAGACATTCAGAAAAACAGAATTCAGGAGGACCAGCAAGGTCTTTTGGGAGGAAAAGGAGGAACTTAATGAATTTGACATAGTGATTTTGAGAGTTTGGGGTACCCTATAGTTATTTTGGTTTTTGGGATTGGACCACTGCAAAAAGGCTGACTATAGGTAAAGATTTGGGAGCCAAGGCACGGATGGGGTGGGGTTGCCCAGAGATAGTAAATGGAAGGAACGAGTATAAAGTTAGTGTTAGAACTTTGCAGTATTTCTCAAGAGGCTTTTTTTCCCTTTTATTTATTTTTTCTTCTTTTCGGTGGTTGGTTGGCATGGGGATCCAAACCCTTGACATTGGTATTATCAACACTATGCTCTATCGAGTGAGTTAACTGGCCAGCCCTCAACAGTGGCTGTAGACCTGTCCTAAGTTTTGAAGGGCAGATCATGCCACCCTTTCCCACTATCTAAACACCAGTAAAGTTTCTCAGTCATTGTAACAACTAAGAATGCCCCCTAGTTGAGAATCCTGGGCTAATAGTATGGGATAAGAGTGTACTTGACTGCAAGTAAGAACAAGAATAAACTCCAGTCTTCACATGGCGTTCTCCTTGTGTGCATGTCTCTGTATCCAAATTTCCTCTTTTTATAAAGACACCAGTCATATTGGATTAGGGGCCCACTCTACTCCGGTATTCCTTCATCTTAATTAATTTCACCTGCAACGATCCAAGTTCCATATAATGTCACATTCTGAGGTACTGGGGTTATATGAATTTTGGGGGTGACAAGTCAACCCATAACTTGCAGGTGGAGACAACCACCACATGACTGCCACCTGGCCTACAGTAGCTATAAGATGCATCTCAATTTCAGAAATATTAAACAGTGGAAAAAATGTGCATTTTAGTACTGACAAACTATGATAGGATGTCAGCTGAAATTACTTGGTTGAAGAGTGAGGATTACAGTGATTATGGATTTAGGTTATCAGTTTCAGGTTCAGTACATAGACATAGGCTATGACATAGACATTGTACATAGACAGTAGTACATAGACATAGACATTGTTCCTTCCAAGACACCATGACATGGGCCCCATCCTATAGAAACATGGTATTCCAGGTCCACATCTTTTCTTACTGCCTGGTATGTTAGGGTTCACTTGAGCCTCCTTAAATTTTGCCCTAATACAGTTTGAAACCATAAAGTCTCACACAACTTTTTACTGTAACTTAATTTGCAAAGTTTTACTGCCTGATTTGACCTGATGGGATTTTGTGCTCCTACCAAGATTGTTAACTCTGTTTTACAAAAGTCCTTCAGGATTTGCACAAATGGAATAAATATATAGGCTGGATGTTGACATTCTCGGGCATGTCGTTTGAGCTGGATAATACTTTTGCTTTAACGTACCTTGTATTAGTTACTCAGTGTGAAGATTGTAATGAGCTCATGGCTGTTCATGGAATTACTGTGTTCTTTTTGATGCGTAACTTGTCACATCTTGGCCAGTGGGGGCCTTTAAGCTGATTCCCTTTAGCATCACTCAGACATTTAAAAAACATTCTTGCTCTCTAGCAACAACAAGATATTCAGGCCCATTTTGTTTTTTCCTGCCCCAAGACGTGGACCAACTACTCTCTAAGAAACTTGGGTTCCTTTTAACAGAGAATATTAAAAATAAAAGTTGGGTGCTAAGGGTACATATCAAATTATCGTGTACAAGTAAAGGCAGTGGCAGCGTGATACCACTGCAGAACAATTTTAATGACAAAGTAGAAAAGGTGGAGTTTTAAAAAATGGGGTCATGATTTATATTACTGATTTCAGTCTAACCCCAGCTTTACTGTGCTTCCATCTAATATCGCTTCTATTTTGAGTTTCCAAGTTTTCTCCACTTTCATATCTAATATCTTCTTATAGCCGTTGGTATAGCATGCCATACTTTGTCATGAGAAACCATGTGTTTAAATCATAATACTGTCTAATCTTTCTTTTTTTTTTTTTTTCCTTTTTGTCTTTTTTCGTGTCCGGCAACGGATCGCAACCCTCAGTGTCGCGCCCGTACCGGACCGGGACCGGCAACGGGATCTCAAACCTCGGTGCTGCGCCCGCATCTCGCTCAGCCAGTGAGCGGGAACCGGTCTGTATGTGGAATCCGAACCCTCGGCGGGAGCACCGCCGCACTCCCAAGCGGCGCACTGTAGCAGTGCGCCACCGGGCCGGCCCCCTGTCTAATCTTTCTATAGCATAATTTGCTGAGTGCCTACTTACGTCTTGGATTTTACCCACCAGCTACACTCTTTCTCCTTCTCTTTTACAATAATGTGGAACCTGCATACTATAGTCACTTTATTGTCACTATAAAAATATTTCTTTTTACTACAGTAAAAAGCATAAATGTTAACTAATCTTCAATATTTTTTAGAAAAGATATACAAAACTTAGAGCAAGATTCTAAATTATGGAAACACACTGAGCGAGGCATATACCTTTCTTGTAACATTTTAAGAACCCTACTCAAATTTAATTCCATCTCCCAGTAGAAAATAGTTTCAACTTTCCCTAAACTTTTTCCTGGAGTCAAAACTCTATCAGAATAAAGGAAAAATCTCAGTAGATCCTTCGTACAGCTTCAGCCTCAACTTTATAGTGTGTGGGGGCTTCTGACAGCTGACACAGGTGTCTCTGTGCCGGCTTTAACTGCACGTGCTTACAACTCACCAGAGATACAGCTTCCCACCAATCCCTGTGGACTAAGGCCTCCACCCACTCAGCTCATTTATATCTTCGCATCAGAAAGAGATGGACAACTCCCTACTGTTTTCTATGTCCTCCAAATATCCATGCACACACATGCACACTCTATATGGCTTTTCTCTTTTAAGTGAGAAGAATGAAAAATTATGGAACAATATTTATGTATAACGCTAGTGTGATTTCTCAGTGATGATGTTTTTCTAATCATAAGAAAAGATTCTCTCATGTAATTCTTAGTTCCTTGACATTTAAAACCATGATTTGCTTAAATATTACTCTGCATTAAAATATGTATGATTACTAACTACCTGGCTAAGAAACTTTCACTTTTATAGGACCTTGTCCAGTGTTCTGCTGGTAAATGTTCAACAACCAGCTTTCATTTTTTTTAAAAAACCAACAATAAAAAACTGATTTGTATCATTTGCTAATTCCTATGGTGTAAATCCTGCCGTTGCCAATTTCTCGCTGCCTAAGTGACGTCACTGAACGCAGAGCTGGTGTAAGTTGGCTCTAGCACTCCACTGCCTTTTCCAGAGATGTGCTTTTCCAAAAAGGATCCTGGTACTTCCCCCCCAACCCCGACCCCGCACATTTAAATGCACTTTCGAACTATTTCCTCTATGCATTTCCTTCTAGAATAGATATTTTTAACTCCCAGGAGAATAATTTCTATACAGCAATTTCCTTACAACTTCTGGCCATGTTAGGAGTGGACATATGGCAACACCTGACATTTAGAATATTGTCTGTTTCTTCTGGGGCTCCGGCAGAACTGCGGGTACATGTGCTGAACTCTGCCACAGCTCTTGTGAGTCTGTGCGTTGTTTCTTCTGCCGTGGATGAGTTCTGATCCCTGGTTACTTACTTCTCTCGCTTCAGAGAAAACTGCCAGCTGACTCCAAGGTTCTAGAAGCCTCAGATCTGGTGTACACAGTAAGCGCCCAAGAGTACTGGCGGCAGGTTCTCCTCACCGAGGAGGAAACTGGTAACTTAACGTTTATTTTTATTTATTTTTTATCTCAATCACTGAAATTCTCAAGTGTAAGCTTGGCACTTTGAATTTCCTGCTCTAGACCTTTTTGTGCTACACAAAAAAATTTTTCCCAGCTTGCCACATTTTCTGTATTTATTAGTTTCCATATTTATAGTCTGCATTGCTGTGGTGCCTGAGACCACAACTCCTCTACCCTCTAAATCTTACCATGGGCTGGTAAAGTTCAAATGATCAGGTTGTCATTTCCTTGCTACATATTTGGCTTGATATTTCATACCCACCCACAATGGGTATCAGCAGTATTTTTTGTCTTAAAAAAAGCAGTATTTTTTGTCTGTGGGGCAGAAAAAGTAGACGGCATGGCCCCTTCATGGAAATTAAAATCCACACAAGGAGCAAATACTAACCCATGTGCAAAAATTAAAAACAAGGCTTAATTAAATGGTGCTGACTGCAAGTACAAGAGAAGGTCAGAGATCTAGACATCTGTGTGGACCAGATTGCACGGTGAAAACTGGGTGAGCAGGCAGGGTCTGAGCCGGACTTCCATCTGAGCTTAGAAGGGCATAGAACACTTACGCATTTTACTAGACTTCTATGTATGTGAATGGGGGAGAGCAATTATGAAACATTCTCAGAAATGGGGGAACTGCTTGAACAAGCTTGTAAAAGACAAAATTAGCATGGCACATGCAAGGGCTAATATAGAAAAATTGCCATGTACAGAAACAATGGGGAAAAGTCAGGTGGCATGTGTTATCTTCTGACTGACAAGGGGTTGGGGCACAGGCAAGTTTCTGATCTAGAATCCCACGTGTCAGAGGTTCCGTTCTATGCAAGCAAGGGCTATTCTGATGCTGAAGGTTATTTTACAGAAAAATTTAGAGGACCAAAGAGCTGAAACTCTAGAAATATGAGCACTTTGGTTCAACTATGCAGGTGAGCACCAATCCAAAGAAAGTGCCTATTTTTAAAATCAGCCTGTACTTTTCCGTGTAGTTTATTGTATATAGCTAAATAAAATTAATATTCAGCATTGCCGAGCAACCATTCTTTCTTGCTGATCCTGGACATGGCAAAATGTCCTTCAGAAAGGTTGGCTTAGTGGGCAGCCAGCCCATGTGGGACCTCCACTACAGTCCCTTTGGACTGCCACTCTGATCTTTCAACGTTTGTATGAATTCTGTTGACTACAAAACTTCCAGCCTTTAAAATCTGTTTGTGCTCCTTGTGAATTCCAGAAATCCCCAAGTTAAGAGAATACATAAGGAAAAGGCTCTTGGACAAGAAGAGGAGGTTGGTGACCAAGTTTGTCACTGAAGCCTTTGGCCTGTTGCTTCTCACTGACAGTTTCAACTCCGTGGGAAACCTGCCGGTATGGAAGAGGTCTGGGTGATGTCTTCTCTCCCTCCCCGCCTGGGCACAGCACTCCTTCTACCAAGTTAGAAAATTAACATGTGATATTTTTTCCTTTCATATCAAAGGAAGAGGTGAAGTTCAGAGTCTAAGAGGACAAAAAGACAACTGAAGGGTTTAAGTCATAACATTTGGGTAAAAGAGTAAGGAATAATATTTTACCTAGACAGATGGGCTAGGGGAAAAGGTAAAAATAGGGGTGATTTTCCATCTCTCCCAAGGCTTAAACAAGATGGATTGTGTTTAGATGGTGGCAGGAGTGATTTGGTTTACTTCTAGCAGATTACAGACATTTCCCGGTTATCCCGGAGAGACATGCTTACGCATACAATCCAAAAACGTTTCTTCTGTCTCTGGATTTTCCTCCTGCCCTAGTACTGTTGGGACCTCAAACTCAGAGCAGCAGCGTAGTCAAATGTAAGAGGCAGGAAACGAGGAGGGAATTTGAACAGAGAGTTTACATATTTATCTTCACTGTCTAGAATGCGGGCCTTCTGAGTGACCAGTGAAAACTGACTTTTTTCATAGTAATGGACAAACATCTCTTCGCTAGCTAATTTTTTCTTTTTAACCTTAAAATAAGAGGGATAAGCTGCTAGATTAGAGGCATGGGAGAGTATCAGAGAAAAACCTGTTGCTGTCATCAGTCACCAACTACATTGTTTCCTTGTGAGAGTCTGAATATACAAAGGACAAGGGCTAGTTTCTATGTAAAAATAGAACTTTGACCCACTGCCTACAGCAATCTGCCCAGGAAACCAACCCCTTATCTACAATAAACAGCCCAGAAAGCCAGCTTGCTACCTGTCAAACTTGGAGGAAGTCAAACTGCACTCTCTAGCAACAGTCCAGGACCATGAACAGTAACTTCTCTAACCATCGGCCCCAAATGTCCAGGGCCTGATTAATAACCTCCCTCTTACTTGTCACTGCTTCCAAATTATAACCAGTCAGAGAAAGCCAAATAGTCTCCCTGCCCAATCACGCAGGATGCCTTGCTTCTAGCGAGAGCCTGCAGCTGCCCAGGCTGATAGCCCGCACCTGGGGTACACCCCGAGCCTTCCTTGTCCCGCTGCGAGCTTCCCCACTCCTCTGCCTGCATGCGAGTCTCTGCCAAACTCACTGTATGGGGCTGACTCCTGCGGTCACAGGCGCCGAATCAACAGCCTTTGCTTTTCTCGTTTGGTTGAGTCGTCTGACTTCTGGTTATGCCAGAACAGTGGCCAAGAAAGTTCACCAGTAGGGATCCCTGAATCCCTCAGGGCTGGTCTGGGAATGGGAAGGTGAGACTGGAGGGCCCTGCAGGGTGGCAAGGAGAAGCAGATGCCTGAGACCTTACCTCTCAGTGCCACCTTAAGACAACAATCTTTGCAGTTGTGGCCAAAGGCCCACATGTGAAAAATTCTGTATATTTTCAGGTGACATGGAGAGCAGAATTCACTATCTTTTCCCATCACATTTGGGTCTGGTTGTGTGAGACAAAACAAAACAAAAAACTTCTGGAATCTGAGATTTTCTAATTTGGCTTTTGTCCTCTGAAATAGTTGGGGAAGGGTTTGACCTTCCAACATCCTGAATAAGTTCTTCAGGGTGACATTTGCTTCTCTGCCCAGCACAAGATTGCTTTTGGAAGTGCTGATGGAAAATGAATCAGATGTGGTGCGGTGTGCAGTTGATGTGTTTTACAATCACAGGGATAAGGCATTTTGCAATCAAGCCTGGAAGTGCCCGCTGCCCGTGCTCCTCTTTGCTAATGCAGGGGTGCAGCCTGGGTGGGGCTCAGTCCCAGCCTTGCAGCCAGATTCCAGGCAGAGGAAAATACAGAAGGGAGGCTGATTGGCACTTCTGTGACAGTCATTGCAGGAAGTTGCCAGCAGCAATCCGCAAAATTCCTTGGCCTTCAATAGCCGTCTCATCTTAGCTCTCTGATGGAAAGTTGGAAAGCCAGAATTTCATCAGTTCCTTTGAATTCTGAAAAATCAAACCTAAAACAATGTGTGATTTTTTTTTTTTTAAGATTGTGACTCAAACTGAAAATTTACAGTTTGGATAGTTAGTGACTTTCAATGAATAGTCATTATGTTTTTAATAACCAATAGGAAGTTGATTATGACATCTCAATGTCGAGTGAGTACTGCGTTTATAACCACCAGATGCCAGCTCTTCTCTTCCTCATTCTTCCGTTTACTCAACGGGGATTTTATTGAGAGTGAGGCGCTGTGGGAATCCTGCCTGTAGATTTTCTGCCCATGACTTCTTTCTTATTTCATTTCGATCACTGGCGACACCACAAATACAAAAGAATCTAAAGGGCGTGCTGGGAAAAAAAGGATGCCTATTGTCAGTGGTGAAAACCAGCAAAATCCCCAGGGTGCGCCTACAGCTACGTAGTCTCCATAAGCTCCGCAACTCACAACTCCAAGGTTCACAGAGTTTTAAAGTTTGTGGCTGTTTCCAAGCTCATTTGGAATGTACTTCAACGATGATGCAGTTGTGATCCAGAGAAGTTAAGTCACCTGTATAAGGTCACACATTGATTTGAGAACTATGTCTGTCTATTTGGAGTAGAGTTTGAAAGCCTACCTTATCTAGCAAGTTTCTCCACGCCAGTCATTCAATCCACAGATGTTTATGGATTGTCTCTGTGCCATATCCTAGAATAAAGGGACGTGTGTGTCCCTTCAGTAAGTTCCTAGTCCCCGGAAGGAGACAAGCAGTGAGAGAGATGTCACGCAGCAGGAGATGCTGCAGCACAGAGCCCCGACTCTGCCTGGGAGTCAGGGAATCATCTCATGGGACGTGACCCCTGGGCTTTGTCTTGAAAGATGAAAAGATGGGAACAGCGTGGGCAAAAGCCTAGGGTCAGAAGGGACGGCCTGCATGGGGAGTGGTAGCAAATTCAGCGGCAGCTGCCTGGGAGGACATGTTGGCAAACAGAGAGGCCAGCTGAGCCCCGGCAAGGAAGGGCCTGAGTGCCAAGACGGGTGTGTGCAGGCCCCGTGGAGTCCTCCCGGGTTCTCGCACAGGTTCTATCATGGGGAACACTACCACGAGTGCCCAGTTTGGAACCTAGACATCAAGGCTGTCCCAGGGGTCACTCCCTTGTATTAATTGAATATATGTTTTTCTCCCTAACTAGACTGTATTTTCCTTTGAAGAAGGGACCATGGCTCTCTTTTTGTGGTCCCGAAACTTGGCTGTTCAAAGTGTAGTCCAGGGCCCAGAAAAATCAGCATCGCCTGGGGGCTGGCTAGAAATGAGACTCCCAGACCTTCAGATTTTAAGAAGGTCTCCTGGAGACTTGTACGCACATTACAGTGTGAGAAACACTATCCTCGAAAACTGCTTTGTGCAGAGTCGAAGCTCATTAAGTGTCAGATAGGACGTCATTAGAAAAATCTGTATTAATAACAATTGGATTTTAATTTGGATAATTATTTCCCCAGATAGCCCAATCGACTATATACCTGAAATAAGTTGCAGCAGACAGATATTTCTTCCATCTCACAAAACCTCAGAGGGTCTGTGCACTGAGGGGTGCTGTGCTGGGGACAATGAGGAGAACTCAACTCTGGGTGATCATCTCAAGCTAAATCTTGGGTCGGTGACAGGCCTAAAGGAAGCAAAGCTTGAGGAGCAGGTGCCTTTAGGGCAGGGGTGGCCTGATGGTCCTTGTGGCTCTTGTCCCCAGAACGAACACTTGCACATGAGCGGCCTGCGCAGATTGGTGGAAGAGAAGATAGAGCTGCTGGAGACGGCCATCGAGCAGTGCTTTGCCCACATCCAGCAGCCCCTGCAGCAAGGGGTCAGCAACGCCAGGACTTCCTATCGACACATCCTCAGGGCATGCCTGGTGGTGAGTGGCCCTTCCAGGGAACACCCAGGGTATTTCATGAGGGCTGCCTACTCCCGAGCTCCTTTTCCACTATCTCGCTTTCAAAAGAAATAAAGAGCTAGAAGAGAAGAGGGGAGGGTGAAAACTGAACGTTAGAAAGCCCACATAGGACTTGCACAGCTGTGGTTAGCGGGACCAGGGAAGTGCACGATTCAGCAGAGACAGTTGGAATTTAGGAGCTGGGTCTTGGTTTGAGCGCCAGCTCCACCAAACATCTACTGTATATGTAGCCCTGGGCAAGACCCCAAATCCATTCACATCCCTAAACCCATTAAAACCTCTTGTTTTTCTCTTCTGTAAAATGGGGATGCTAAATGCTTGTCCCCGCCTGTCTTGTGGCATTGATGTCAGTATGGATTTGATTACACAGTAGAAAACATCTTGGAAGCTCTCACTTGGCATGCAAATTGTTTTATTTCTTATTTCGTCATATGTGGTTTCTCTCTCTTTCCTTTCCTTTCCTTCTTTTTCTTTTCTTTCTTTTTTGGTGGCTGGCTGTGTACGGGGATCCGAACCCTTGACCCTGATGTTATAGTTGTGTGGGGTTTCTGAGGGATGAAATGTAAATGCAAGGCAGTATTTATCTAAGACGAGAGGGTGAAAAAAGGCCCACTGTAACAGTTTGCCATGGCTGCTGGGACAGAATACCACAGATGGAGTGGCTTAAACAATAAAAATTATTTTCTCATAGTTCTGAAGGCTGGAGATCCAAGATCAAGGTGTCGGCAGGTGATTTCTTCTGAGACCTCGCTCTTTGACCTGCAGACGGCCACCCTCCCATGTGTCCTCACGTGGTCTTTCCTCCATGCACACACACTCCTGATGTCTCTCTCTTCCTACAGGGACCTGTTCAATTAGGGCCCCAACCTATGACCTTGGTTAACCTTAGTTACCTCTTCAAGACCCTGTCTCCAAACACAGTTTCATGGGGTTAGGGCTTCAACATATGAACTTTGTGGAGGCGGGGGGACACAATTCAGTCCGTAAGGTCCATGGTGAGTAAGGGGTGACAGATGACAGACACTGCTCATGTGCAAGGATGGTGTGGAGGGAGGTCTCTAGAGCCGGGAGCAGTGCGTGGAGTATGTGCGGTGGTAGTTTTTATTATGAGCTGGAAAGTTGGAATGTTAGCAGTGAAAAATGTGCGCAGGGTTGTGCATTAATGGAGCTCTTGCATTTCTGTGGCCTTTTATACCAGAGGATACTAGCTTTCTAGCACACGGCCTCTCCTGGGGGTTATCTGCATATTTCATGTAAAAGCTTGTTTAAGCATCTAGATTAGCAGGTATATGTGCTGCACTTGGGATAAAAGGGAAGTAGGAGACACCTCTAGTGTATGACAGAGGATGAATGCTAAAAGAACTAAAAGCTGAAAGAGTAAATAAGTCGGAAGGATTCTGGGGTCACTGGGGAGGACTGTTAGTGTCTGGCCACAGGAGAGTGAGCACTGGCATGTCTTCCACGGCTGGGCTGGGGGCTGAGTAGTCGTGCATGTGGTGAGTGTGCATTCATTTGTTCAGTAAACATGAGCATGTGCTTACTCTGGGCCCAGACACTGTGCATATTACCTTGTTCAGCCCTCACAACCATTCTGTGTGGCAAACACCCATATTATTATTTTAATTTTGTAGGCTTAAAGAGCCTGAGTACCTTTTCCGTGGCCACACATGGACTCCACATCTAACACAGGCCTATGAAACTTCAGAACCGAGGCACCCAGTCCCTACTGGTGCCTGGTCGCATCTCCTAAACTGTCTTCTGCAAACTGTTGTAGCTACTTGTCATTGCCAACCAGTGACACAGTTTAACATTTGCAAATCCCAATAAAAATAGTACATTTTGGCACATGCATTCATTTCTTCATGAAACAAGGACTGTTGAACACAAGGCTTGATTGCTAAGAGTCAGCGTATCCCATGGTGAAGGACACAGGTTCTGGTTTGCATCTCTGCTTCCCCGTCTGTCAGCTATGTGACTGTGACAAGTCACTTAACCTCTTTGTGCCTCAGGTTCCTTATGTGTAAAATGGGCACCATTGTACCCATATTGTAGGGTTGTCGTAAAGATATAGTCCCTGAGCTTGACCAAGGAATTCAGTATATAGAGTTTAATATAAGTCAACCATTATTATTATTAGTTTTGGGGGATCCACTCTCTGCTCAGAGGAATTAGGACAGCATGTGGAGAACTGGAACAAAAGGTAGCCTGTTGGTGAGGACCCTGGGAGAGCCACAACGTGCTCCAGATGTTCAGAGGAGGGAGCGCATCCTGGGGGGGGGGGGCAGGTTGAAATCTTTTGGATGCAAATCAGAGTCCCTCCCTCAAGCCAGCCTAAATGATAAGGAGGTGTACTGGCCCTCCTGTCTGGGAGCTGGAGGAAGCGGGGCCTGGAGGATGAGCTGAATCAGTGGCCCTGGGCCTCCTCCTCTAAGGCCCTTGTTCTCATCTGTGTGGGCCTCATCTCAGGCCGTTTCCCTCCCAATACGGCATGGGTGTAGCTGTTCTTGGATTCACATCCGTCCTCCACAGGCTCTGGAGCAGGGTCTGTCAACCTCGGCATTATTGACATTTTGGGCCAGATCATTCTTTGTTGTGAGGGGCTGTCCTATGAATCACAGGGTGTTTAGTGTCCCTGGACTCTACCCATTGGATGCCAATAGCACCCACCACTCTTCAGTTGTGACAAAATCACTCCAGGTTGAAAACCACAGGTCTAGAGGAAGTTGCTCTCTCATAAGAGTGAAGAAACTTCTCAGAAACCCGAGCAAACCTTCCTTGGTGTTTCTTTGGCTCTAAATAGGTTCCATGCCTATTTCTAACGGATCTCTGAAACAAGAGAATGCCTCATGCCTAATAGCTTAAGCCTGTGTATGTGTCCCATCCTGGAGCTGGAGATAGAGTTAATATCCTCTGGAGCAGAAGGACTAGGTAGGGGACAACTGGAATTGCCAGGTGAAGGGGGAGTGGATGTTGGGAAAGAAGTCCCAGGGCTCATTAGAGGACAATCCAATAAGGCTTCAAGAGGGTGATATGGAGCCTGGCCCTGAAAGATCAGTGGTGTTTCCATAGGCAGAAGAATAGAGGGAAGGGTGGGCATTCCAGGTGAGGAAGGAGAAAACACTTTGGAGAACCAGCAGGTGGATCAGTCTATCTAACTGTAGCTTAAAGCACACACAGCAGGGTTCTGGGGTGTCAGGCTGGAAAGAGTCAGCTTGGTGGAGACTTTAGACCAGGCTAACGAGTTTGAATATACTGAAATTTTGAGCAGGAGAGTGGCTTCATCAGAAGTATGCTACAGGAAGCTCAACGCTTTGGGAAATACTGGAGGCAGAGAGCCCAGTTAGGAGATGCTGAGATCAGATGAGACACAGCAGGGTCTGAACAAGGGTTGTAGCAAATGGGATAGAGAGGAAGAGATGGCTTGGAGAGCAAATTTGAAGGATGTCTCGATCGAGATTGTCGATAGTTCAGATGTGGAGTTTGTGGGGGAGCAAGGAGGCAAGACTTCTGGGAAGATTTGCACATAAGAGAAAGGAGATCTCATCAATTTGAAAAAGGAGTAAGGAGATGATGGGGAGGAGCTTATCTCTGGGTTAAGTGGTGGGGGAAGCAATGTACTCAGTGTTGGAGATCATGTATTTAGTGTTTAGTGCAGGTAGAATGTCTAATAACCTGCCTTCTTAGCGCAGTAGGCAGCACGTCAGTCCCATAATCTGAAGGTCCTGAGTTCGAGCCTGAGAGAGGGCAGTGTAGTTTTGGCCGGCCCGGTGGCGCACTGCTACAGTGCGCCACTTGGGAAGCGCGGCGGTGCTCCCGCCCAAGGGTTCGGATCCCACATACAGACCTGCTCACTGGCTGAGCGAGGTGCGGGTGCGGCACCGAGGGTTGCGATCCCGTTGCCGGTCCCGGTCCGGTACGGGCGCGACACTGAGGGTTGCGATCCGCTGCCGGTCACGAAAAAAGACAAAAAGGAAAAAAAAAAGAATGTCTAATAAAATGAGAGAAGTGTGGACTTCGGGCCCTAGAGAGAGGTGGGGCTGGAGGTCACCTACATGGAATTGATAGTTGAACCTACAGGAGTGCATGGAATTGAGAAGTAGAGAGGACAAGGATATGAAATGTCCTCATAAAAAGGACACATTTAGGGAGCAGAAGAATGAAAAAGAGCCAGGGAAGGGGGTGGAGAAGGATTAGTCTGAGAGGTAGTAGGAGAAGGAAATAGTGTAAGGCCTATTTTCTTATTTTTTTATACTTATTTTTAGAGTAATGCTTTATTTCTTATTTTCGAACAAGAAAACCAAGGCAAGAAAATTTGTTAAGAAGGAAATTATCAGATGCTTCTGAGATGCCAAAGAAAATTAGGATGTGGATGGCCATTAGACTTGGCCATTATGGTGTATTAGTCCACTTTTGTGCTGCTATAACAGAATACCTGAAACTGGGTAATTTATAAGGAAGAGGTTTATTTGGCCCATGATTCTGGGACAGCTTAATCTGGCACAGGCCTCAGGCCACTTCTACTCACAGTGGAAAGTGGCAGGCAGATGGCAGGTGCAAGATCACAGAGTGAGAGGAAGCCAGAGAGAGAAGGAGGGGCAGTGCCAGGGTCCTTTAAACAACCAGCTCTCGTGAGAACTAATAGAGCAAGAACTCACTCACTACTCTCCCCCAGGAGGGTATTAATCCACTCATGAGGGATCTGCTCCCCATGACCCAAACAGCTCTGACATTGCCACATTGGGGATCAGATTTCCACAGGAGCTTTGAGGGAACAACAGATCCAAACTTTGTCAGTGGTTATGTACTGGTGACTGTGGTGGGCAGCCTCCGAGATGGCACCCAGGGTTCCTCACTGCCTGGTATTCATGCCCTTGTGGAGTCTCCCCCTGCATTGAACCAGGCTAGTTTCTGAGACTAGCAGAATGCTGCAGAGGTGACGCTGTGTAGCTTCTGAGGCTAAGTCACTAAGGGCCACAGAGGCCTCCACGGTGGTCTCTTGGATCACTTGCTCAGAGGGAAACCAGCCCCCATGTGCTGACATCAAGCTGCCGTGTGGAGAGACCCACATGGAGAGGAGCTGAGGGCTCCTTCCTGAGGCCAGTCTCCAGCACCAGCTTGCAGCCACATGTCCTTGGAAGCAGATCCCCCAGCCCAGTGCAGGTGACCATAGCACAGCCATGCCTGAACAGACCTCATGAGAAACCCTGAGCCAGAAGTGGCCAGCCAAGCCACCCCCACATCCTGACCCACTGAATCCGTGAGAGATAATAGTAATGTTCACTGTTTTTTAAGCCGTAACACCACTACATTTGGGGTAGATTGTTTTGTAGCAATAGATGGCCAAGTAACCCTGAAGACAACTGTTTCTGTCCAATGGTTGAAGAACCCAGATCACAAAAAGTGAGTGAGTGAGTGGGTGCTGAGAAGGTGAAGGCACAAAGTGGGGGCCACCCCGTGGAGACAGTTTGCTTGTGAAAGGAAGGAGCAACACGAGCCTTTTTCAGGCTTCATGGGGACTTCAGCACACCCACTGTGCCCTCCCTCATCAGCCCTTCTTTCTCTGGGACAACAAACATGCCCAAGGTGTTCCTGTCTGATCAATAACATTCCTTTGTAATCAGAAATTTGGGCAAACATTTATATACTAACATTCTATCACTACTCAACACAGTAAAGTAACCTAAATGTCTAAAAGTAACAGAATGGTAAAATGAATTATTCTACATCCGTATGATGTTATATTCCATGCTTATGAAGATGATTTTTTGGAATGTATTTACAATGATTTGGGGATATGCTCATGTTGTAATATTAAGTGAAAAGAGTACACACACACATATAAAGAGCGTATCATGCCAACTGTATCATGCTATGCAGCAATTCACTTAAAACATATTTCCTTAAAATATGTATCATTGATTAAAGATCACAAAGCCCTCTATTGAAATTTTAGCAAATGGTGCCTTTATTCTCTTTACTAATGATCACCATCTGGCTAGAATGGATTAATGTCTCTTACAGCTCCAGCTTTTCAACACTTTTTCCCTCTGATTTATGAATTTATTTCCCTGGGGAAAACAATCACCAAGGTATACAAATCAAACTGTATTTCTTTAAATATTTAACAAAAAGTACAAGACATTTGGACCAGATGTAGAAAATCCAAGACAAATACTTACTGTCAGCTCATAGCACATTTTCATTCATTTCTTCATGTATTCATTCATTCAATGATTGCTCATTTAACAAATATTTCTCAAGCACTGCTTAAGTTGATGTCAGATGTTGAGGACATGAAGGTGGGTGAGATGTGCCTGATCTCGACCAGCCTGACAAATGAGCAAACCAACAAATACAAAATCGCATGAGAGAGTTGTAAGCAAAGTGAGCACGGGGCACTTTGGAAGCCCAGGGCAGGGGCACCCCCCCCCAGCCTGGAAGTGAGACTGCCGTCCTCCCTGTCTAGCTTAAGGATATGTTCAAAGATCATGTCTCTACTCTTTCCTGTGATTTTTGGTAACAGCCTTTGGCCAAAGGCAATGAAATACTGATCCTGTGACCTTGTTAACACCTACTAATTCTGTTCATTTATTGTTTGATTATCTAGAGGAGTAAGGGAAACCAAGGCTTTCACCAGACTCTAAAAGCTGTTTGCCTGAAAAATGGCGTCTATGCCTCCAGGACTTTGCCAAGAATCGATCTGAATGAAGCCATCACCCAGCCCATCTATGACCAAATTGACCCTGTGTTTGGAGGCATTTTTAGGTAAAGGATCTTTCATCTTGAGCTTTCGTGAACAGACATCTGAAGAACATTGAGTTACAGTCTCATCATTAAGAATTTACACTTTGGACCTTGAAGTGTGAAGAGTAGCTCGTAACTTGATAACGAAAGCTGAGTCTTTGGCAAAACACAAAAGCCTCTGGGTTTGGTTTATTTAAAAATTTCCCATAGTGACCTGGAGTACAGACTGAGATATTGCTTTCAGACTAATGTTATGATTTCCATTATTTTTCAAATATCTCATACATGCAGTAGGGGATACATTTTCATAGGGATCTGAGCCTGGGGCAGGGTATTTTGAATGGAGGGAGTGGAATCAAGCAAACCCCTGAAAGCCTTCAGAGCTTTCCCTGAATGCAGCAGGATGTGGCTCCCTGAGGACACTTTGTGTTTCTGGCACGCTGCCTGCTCACAAGCATGGCGTGGCTTGCGGGTGTGTGTACCTCCTTAGTGCCCCCTCCTGCCACCCTCCCCAACCTCCGGTTCTTTCCTCCATCAGCAAAAACAAAATCTCCAAATCCCCAAGTGCAGCAGCTTGTCCCCAGCCTCCATCCCCTTCCCCACTGGCATGTCACCTGGTTGGCCCCCTGCTGCTGCTTGGACCTTTCTGCCACCTTTGCTTGTGTCCTTCCCAGTGCCACCGCTCCTGCCCCCACCTTTCTGTAAACACTTGGATCCTGCCATGTCACCTGTGCCCACCCCACACCCCTGTTTACAAGTCTGTAAGAAAAACTCCAAATTCCTTAGGATGGCACCCAAGACACCCACCTGCCCCCAACTTGCCTTTGCAACATTCGCCTGCCCTGTTGCCTGGAACCAGCTCTCCGCTGTGGCCAGCCTACAGGTAACAAAGAGCAACTGAGATGTCCTGGGCACCGTGACAAGCACTTTGCAAGTACCATCTCACTAAATGCTCCCCCAAACCCTGTGAAGTGGCTTCTGCCTTTTTACACATGAACAAACAGATTTAGAATTGTACAACTCTCCCAGTGTCACCTAGCTCATGAGTAGAGAGCTAGGATTTAGTGCCTATATTCTCTCCTCTATAGCCTCCCACTTCTTCCTCCTGAAAGATTCTGAAACTTGGCTCACTGTGCTGTCCCATGGAGAATAATTCCTCTTTCACACTTCCCCAAATCTTACCTGTCTTTTAATGTGTAATTTAAGTCCCACTCTTTCAAGTAGAGACACCTTGGCGGTGGAAAGACTATGAGTCTTGAGGCTCAGTGTTCAAAGCCTGTCTTTGTTGCTTACTAGCTGTGTGACCTTGGACACATAAGTCGTCTTCTCTAAACCTCAACTTTCTCATCTGTAAAATGGGCACCACCACACTGACTTCATAGGTTTTCATGTTTAGGGCCCGGCACATTCCAGGGATCTGATAACTGTTAGATCTTGTCCCTCTTCTCTTAAAAATGAATGAAAGGACACCAGCTAGTTTAATGTTTGTTTTAGCCCCTGCAATAGCTACCACTGTCTCTTACCTTTTACATTGCTTTCTTCTATAGGGCTGGGAATCCCACTGGCTTAGCTCTGATGCCTCACATAGAAGCTTTTAAGCACTCCCTGCAGGAGAAAATGATGGAAATCGGGATGAGAAATGGCTGGAAATATGACAGCTGCAAAAAAAGTTTCCTGATTCAGGAGGTAAGTTCCTTGCAAAGGGAAGAGGGTGGTGAGGCCGGGCAGTGGCTTTCTTCCCCAGTGGGTCTGAGATGTTGCCTGTCCCTCTCTGCTTGTCCCCGGAGTATGCAGGATCTGGACTGTGAAATACGAACCCTCATGGGAGGGGGGAGAGCAAAGGGTCCTAAGACCATCACGGAGGTGTGGGGCACCGAGGCAGACTTTGTTCCATGCAACTGATAGTGCATGCACAGTTGTAAAGTTGACTCAGTGCCCAGGAAGAATCAGCAAAGCATCCTTAGACCTACGAAGAGGTGCATCTACTTGCCACATTGTCACTAGCTGTGCTTCGTTTTTGCCAGTCTTATGACTCAGTCCCCAAAGCAGTGAAGCTTCAAGAAGTCAGTTATGTTTTTGAGCGTCATTTTTTAGTTTTGAGGACTCAAGGCTCTTGTCTGTGACTCATTTTCTTCCAGGACCAGCCCAAATCACATGATGATACTAGAGAAATAGCTTGTGCCTCCCCTGACCCCCCAAAGACAGCCAATTCCAGGACTTTGCCCGTGCCTGAGTCCAACTCAATAATACTTGTATTTACTGAGTAGTGTGTAGGTACCTGGCACCCTGAGTAGCACTTTGGGGCATGAAGATGCTCAGGACAGAGTTCCAGGCTCCAGTCCTTGGGAAGCTCTCAGCCTACCTGAACTGACAGACAATTTGTAAATGGTGTAAGCCAGGGGGGGAAGGGTGACCACAGGCAGGGCTGCTTCTGTGGAGGGAGTCATCCCAGGTGGCCTTCTGTCCATCTGGCTTCTCAGATAAGCGCCATCCTGGGAGGCCTGGAGGGACAAGTGCTCAGAAGGAAGAGGAGGATCTACTCGTCTATCACCGCCTCCGTTCAGAACGACCTGAAGCCCTGCTACGAAGGTGGGGCTCCAGGGCAGCATTTCACTCCCTTGGGGGTCTTCCTGTCGGCTCCTTTTGCTTCCTTTTCTGCAACTCTCTCCTTCCCTCCATGGACTTGTCCTCCTGCATCCTGAGCCCTCGACCCTCTTGGTCTACACGTGAGTAAGGGCATGGGAGAGGAGCTAGGAACGCAGTATCCGGTTCTCATTCTTCCTTTCTTTAAGTATGTATGAACTCACTGTCAGGCTCCTCCTTGTTCTCTGGCCCCAGTTTTGAGGGGAGGGGTGATTTTGTAAGCTTCTGCTTAATTCACTCATTAGATTTTGTGATTTTGTGAATGACAGTTATTATCTAGGTATCGAAGGGGTTATTTTGTATATGCATGTATATACACGTGTGTGTATGTTTCTGTTTGCTGCCTGCTTGTTTTTCTTTCTGACACCAAAGCTTCCTAAGCAAGGCCTTGCTGGGGTGTGATGGTGGCCACTGTTTTTGCCAGAGGCAGCTCAGATCACTGGCAAAAAAGCATGTGAGAGAATGAAGGACGTCCTCCGAAGAGGGGTGGACCGGCAGGTGGCTGAGGGCATGTTTGAAAGGGCTCAGGAGAGGATGCAGCACCAGTTCCAGCAACTGAAGGTATTCCATCCCCACGGTCAGAACCCCAGGCCCAGGGAGGCTTGTGGGGGAGCTGGGGAAGCAGGTGCAGATGGGGGAAGAAGGCATCTGGGCCCCAGTGGAACCAGAAGGGCCTAGCCAGTGCCCTCGATGCTGGCAGAGGGGGCCACTGGCACTCAGTGTTCTTTCTTCGTGGCTGCACACGGGACGTTGGTGCCTTTGTGGGACTGTGACTTCAGAAATGCAGCCCTCTGGCTGTCTCTGCATCTCACCTCTCTAAGTCATCAGTAGAACAATATCCAGAAGGGGTGCTCAGCTCACGACATACAAGGGCTCATTTAATCTCCGGCAAGTCTGTGAAGCAGGCTCTATGACTGTTCTCATTTTAGGCTGAGAACACACAGGCCACACAGCTAGCAAGATGCAGCACTGGGATGGGGGACCGGGTCACCTGGCTGCAGCATCTCCAACACTAGCACAGTCCCTAGACAGATTTTTAAATGAGGGAAGTGTCTTGTCTACATCAGATGTCAGTAAATACATGTCAGGGGCACAGTTATAGCACCTAGTGTAGATTCAGGTCTCATTCTGCCCACCTCGGAAGACAGTTCCCAATAGTTTGCTTGGGACAAACTGCTTCTCTCAAGTACTCTTGGACTGTTTAGCCTCAGCTCTGAGTCTCTTGGCTTGCCACCCTCTCCCCCCGAAGTCATAGAAATCTTTTTTGTCTTTGTCCAAGCCATTACTGTGCCCCCATCCCCCCACCCCAGGTCCAAATTCTTCTGCCCTGGTCCAGGCTCAGCTGACCCTCTCTCCTAAACACCCGAGGAAGCCGGCCAGTTGCTATTTCAGTCCACCTTTGAACCACCTTCTTGAAACATCTCCCACCCGCTTCTGCACAGTCTCTTCACCTCCCCCACCACTGTGGTTTTGGAAAATACCTTTCTCCACCATACAAAGCACGTAATTTCCCATGGAGTCAGCAAAGAAATATCTTGCTTGCCAGTAGCAGTTTAGTTTCAACCATTTAGCATACTGTCACAGTCTACAGATACATGCTGGAAATAGGCCAAACTCTGCAGAGCAAATCCCCATTGCGTACACAGAAACGGGATCTTCAGGTGCCCAAGAAAACAATTCCACTGAAAAATAATTAGTACATTGGCCCTGTACCAGGGTATCAGTGTGTGTGTGTGTGTGTGTCTTTTTTTTTTTGGTGACTGGCCTCTATGGGGATCTGAACCCTTGACCTTGGTGTTACAACACTGTTCTCTAACCAACTGAGCTAACCACACAGCCCCAAATGTATCTTAAATCACAGAAATGTAGGAAGTTAAAGCTGGACAAGACTACAGAGCGATCTCATTCCCTGATCCCTTTTTTTTCTTTCAAGAAAACCAGTTAACTTTTAATTGTTTAAAGTATTTTAGTTCTACAAAATGGATGGAATTTCTTTTTATACAAGTTTAATTTGTGAAGATCTACTGGTTTTAAAAAAATGACCTCTTCATAATGTTCTTATAACTTGAAGAGTGGAATTGTGTTTTGGTGAGCCCTCTGATTAGCCTCTGATATGTAATGAGTTGTGCGGCTTGCTGGTGTGTTTTCCCCTCCAGTGACGTGGCCCCTTCTGCTATGTTAGGAACTGCGGCTCTCCCGTTCCCTGATCTTAAAGACAAGGAGGCTGAAGCCTATATGGCTTAAGGTATTAGCTCAAGGCTAGAGCTCTTGGTCTGATGTGTTGAAGAAAAAGCCTGAGGTTCGGAGTCGGGTGACCCAGGTTCAAAACCAGACTTTGCCAGGCTAGCGGAAAGAGTCTGGCATTTTTCAAAGTGACACAGGGCAGAAGAGGGAGGAAAATAGCTTTAGTTGATAAGAGGGCTGAGAGCAGCAAGAGGACATTTTTGGGGCAGTTGGGAAGAAGAACCAGACATGTCTAGTAAGGTGTGGACACAGAGTAGATGTCCAACGCACAAGGCTCCAGTGACTAAAGGCACGGGAAGGGGGTGGGACAGTGGCCAGCCCTCTCCCTCTTTTCCTTCTCTGCAGTGGCCGTTCCCTCCTGCAGGCCTCCGTGTAGCTTCATTAGCTCCTGATTGGGTTAGTCAGCTCTGGAGGTGCAGGCCCCCCCAAGTCTTGACAGGCAGGAAGGGAGACACTAAGATGGGGGGACCCACAGGAACATTGCCCTGTTGACTCCTGGGCCGTTTGATGCACTCTAATGTGGGTCACCCCTGGACCTGACTCTGGCGACCCTAGGCTGTACCCTCTCTAGCTGGGGGATTGGGCGGGTCCCTTTCATAAGATCCACTTACCTTTGGGCTGTGCCATCCTAACAGCCTGTCCTTGTCATGCAGAGTGCAATCACAGAGAAGGTGAAGGGCAGTGTTGCCACCATGCTGACCCTTGCCTCATCCCAGGGGGATGGGCTCTACAAGGAGCTTGCAGGTAAGTCCATAAAACTTTTGCATGAAAGGCAATTGTGCTGCTGGCTGTGGTTGTTCTTCACTGAATTTGAAGAAATGAAGTTAGGAAGAATTTCCAGGGCAAGGAATGGAGATGATGACCATGATGATGACCGCCCCGCCCTTTGCCAAGCGCCCTATGGAGACCACGCATTATCCACAGGCTTGTGTGTACTGTCTCATGGAATCCTCACCTAGCACTCAGAGACAGATGATATTGCTCCATTTTGCAGATGCAGAAATAGAGACTCAGATTAGGTAATGTGCCCAAGTTCACATAGCTGGAAGTGGCAAAATCAAATCCATAGCTCTGCCTTGCTGTATTCGTAAAGCCTTTCCTGTTAGTTGATACCTCCTTATGGGCTGGCTGGTTAGCTCAGTTAGTTAGATCATGGTGTTATAACATCAAGGTCAAGGGTTTGGATCCCTATACTGGCCAGCTGCCAAAAAACAACAAAAAAAAGTTACCTCCCTATAAAAATCTTTTATTTTCGGGCCAGCCCTGTGGCTCACTTGGGAGAGTGCGGCACTGGTAGCACTGAGGCCGCGGGTTCGGATCCTATATGGGGATGGCCGGTGCACTCACTGGCTGAGCGTGGTGCAGACCACACCGTGCCAAGGGTTGCAATCCTCTTACCGGTCAAAAAAAAAAAAAAATCTTTTATTTTCTGGTGGTGGTGGAGAAAGGTTTCTCTTGATCCACCAGGAGCTTGGGAATGCAGCGCTAGCTGCATGTGCCCTGTTGCAGGCAGCCACCCCCTTTTCGTTCCGTGGGCTCCACTGGAGCCACTGGTATGAACTGGAGATTGTAAATTGATGCAAAAAGCAACTGGGAAATTTCTAGCAAAATTAAAAACACATATATCCTTTGGCCCAGCAATCCTACTTCTAGGAATTTACCCTATAAATATCCTCATACATGGGCAGAATGGCATATGGATAAGGTTATTCAGAGTAGCATTGTTTATAATATCAAAAACTGGAACAACTCAAATTTCTATCAGTAGAGCACTGGTTAGATTAAATGAGATACACATGCTTTATACAGAATAAAGCAGCTTTATATGTAGTGGTATGAAATGATCTCCAAACTTTATTTTAAAGTTAAAAACAAAAAGCAAAGTGAAAAAATATGTGGCCATTTGTCAGAGAGAAAGGAAACACATGTGTGTACGTTTGTATATGCATAAACATCTCCGTGGCATACCCAAGTAGCTGGTGACACTGGTTGCCTCTAAGGAGGGGAACTGGGAGGCTAGAAGATGGGGGACGGCAGGATACCTACCCTGAACTCTGTATATTTTGTGCCTTTTAAATTTTAAGTCACATGCATAGTTGCCGTCTAGAAAAAAAGACTAGGTCTGATGCTGCCGCCGAGTATGCCCAGGCGAGCGTGGTCAGAGCAGTTTCCAGAGTGAAAGCCACAGCTGCGGTGTCTGCCTATCTGCTCCACACTCATGTCTCATTCTGGAAGACGTTATCCCCATTGCTGGCTAGTTCGATGGACATCTAACCTGGTCTTCTTACTGGTCTCTAGGGAAGGAGACACTATGCCCTCCCATTATAATTTATCAGACTCCCTCATGACCTCTGTTTAGGCCTTCACAGAAAGCTGAGATTTTAAGATTTTGGTCATCCAACTGGTCTTCTTTAAGGAACTCCTGCTTTTCAAAGGTTTTTCAACTATCCAGGTCTCACAGACACAAAACGTTCCCCTAAGTTTGATGTAAATGGAGCCTGCCATAGTTTGCATGTACTTCCTTTCTTTCACAATCAACAACAAATATACACCATGTAGGGGAACTGTGCCAGGTGCCAAGGTTATAAAGAGATCTCAAAAGCAGTCCCTGCTCTCAGGGTCTTACCCAGTTGGTGAGACAAGACATGTAAGGATGTAAATCATGAGACTGGATGGTATGTGTTCACTGGGCTAGTGATTATAATCACCTCCTAGGTGCCTAGCGGTGTTCTGGGTGCTGAGGACACAGCAGTGAGCAGTACACACAAAACCCCCGCCTTCCTGGAGCTCACAGCCAGCGGGTGGAAGGCAGGCAATAAGCAAATCATAAGTAAAATATGTGGCAAGGAAATAAAGCAGGGAAAGGGGACAGGAATGCTGGGGGTAGGGGGGTGGATGGTCATGGAAGGTCTCGCTGGGAATGTGACACTTAAGCAAAGAACTGAGGGAGGACCTGCTCTGGCACCAGGTTGTTATTCTAGCAATTCAGAAGACAGTGGCGACTCAGGGCTGGGACACTGGGGAAGCTTTGTGGAAGCTGAGGCCTCAGGGGAGCCTTGAAGGACAGGCAGGATTTAAGAGGCAGTGAGGAGGAGGGAGGAGGGAGGCCCTCCAGATGAGGAGCAAGACAGAGACACAGGGTTCTAACCCCAAGGCATGAGTCCCACTGCTGGCCAGGCTCAGGCAGGCTAGTCTGAGTCACATAGAGCCAAGCAGGGTTGGAAAGGCAGCAGGAGCAATGCCAGAGCCAGCCCCAAGGTCATTCTGAAGTGTCCCTTCAAGGAGAACTGTACCAGTCAGGGTTCTCCAGAAAAAGAACCAGTAGGATGTGCGCGTAGATGTAGGAAGAGATTTGTGGAGGCTTGGAGAGTCCAAACTCCCGTGAGGGGAGACCAACCAGCAGGAGACTCCAGAAAGAGTTGCAGTTTGAGTACAAAGGCCAACTGCTGGGGAACGAGGCAGAGCCGATGCTGAGGTGGGGGCCACAGGCCATCTGCTGGGGAATCCCTCTTGCTCAGGGAGGGCAGCCTTTTGTTCCATTCAGGCCTTTAGCTGATGGGATGAACCAAGGGGGGGCAATCTGCTTTACTCAAGGTCCACAGATTTGAATGTAACTCTCATCCAAAACCCCCCTCGGAGAAACATCCAGACTAATGTTTGACCAAATATCTGAGCACTGTGGCCTAGACAAATTGACACATAAAATTAACAGAACATTGGTGGAAAACCTGAGATACCAAAGAGAGCAAGTTCACTTGGAAGGGGGTCTGGGGGAGCAGATGGGTGGGGGAGGAGAGAGCTGCCTGGAGAGGACTTAGGGGAGGCTTTGATGCGCGATCTGCTTTGTATCTCCCTCCACCAAACTCCCGTGAGGCCTTAGTAGGCCTTGCGAGGCCCAGTGATTGCCCAGGGTTTCTTTTTAGGGTGACCCCCATGCTGAGACAAGCCTTCAGGTAAGAGGAAGAATACCTGGTTTGATTCAGGTTGTTTATAAAACAAGGAGATTGGACTATGTGATCCCCAGACACCACTCCAATCTGATATTCTGGGACACATGACCCAGGTCATAACAGCATTCTTGAGGGATCTGTTTCCTGGAGACATTTCTGAAAAAGACACTAACTCCTCATGCATGCTTTCTGCTCTTTTGTAGATGTCAAAAATGAATACAAGGAGATGGAAAAGCTACACAGAAGCCTGAGGGAGGTGGCTGAGAATGCGCTGCTGCGGAGGGGCATGCAAGATTTCCTCCTGAGAATGTCCCCCAGCAAAGCTGGACCCCCCAGAACACAACTTTAATTCTTGGGGCTTATCCCCAGTGGGATGGAAAATAAGCCTGCAGCCACATAATCAGAATTACTTCTGTTTTTTGTAATCTAGTAAAGAACATCTCCCAACTGTTTGGGCTTTATATATAATATAAAACTCAATAAATTGTTGCTTCTAGCTTAATTTTATTTTATAGCCAAAAAAGAGTGAACTTGAATCTCCAGTGGAGTTATAAAACTTCAGGGACAAGAAACTTGTGCTTCACCGAAGAAAAATATCTAAACATCAGAAACCTGAAATATTAAAGAAAAAAATTGCAAATAAAACTTTAGAGACCCAATTCAATTTCCCATTTTAATAGTGATGAGACTTTTGGATAAAGAGGCAATGTTGTGCCATGGGAACAACACAGGTTAGGGAGTAGGTGGACGTGAGACCCAGTTCCATCATTTCTCAGATGTGTTATCCAGTGCCAGCACTTCCCAAACATTTGGACCTTAGGACCCTATGCTCTTAGAAATTATTGAGGACCCTACAGAGCTTTTGTTTATGTGGGTTATAGCTACTGATATTTACTATATTCAAAATTAAAACAGAAAATTTAAGCAATTATTTACTAATTCATTTACTTTAATTATTTACTTTAATTCATTTAAAAGTAACAATAATAAACCTATTACATGTTAACATTTTTTATGAAAAAAGCCATTTTCCAAAAACTGTAGTGAGAAGAGTGACATTGTTTTACATTTTTACAAATCTCTTCCTTCTCTGGCTTACTATAAAAATCAGCTGTATTCTGACATCTGTTTCTGTACCCAGTCTCTTGCAGTATGTCTTCTCGGTTGATGTAGATGAAGAAAATTCAGTCTCACGCAGTTATACAGGTGGAATACAGAGAAGTATTTTAATAGCCTTTTCAGATAATTTCTGGATATTCCTCTTTGATACTGCAGTCTTGACAAATGGTAGTTTCTTAAAGGTTAGTTGCAGTGTAGAATCTGAAACCATATCAGTGAACATTTTTCATACCCTGTCACATTTAAGTCCATTGGCTTCTCTTGTAATTTGAATGGATTTTTTACCAAAGCATGATTTTTTGGCATCAGGCATTGGTCATTCTGAAAATATTTATTTACTGAGTTAAGCAGATATTCCAAATGTTGACACATTTTACTGTACAATACCACAAAATCATATTTGTTAATATCTCCACCAATCTCATCAGGAAGTCTTGAAATACTGAGAAACTGTCAAGTTCACAGCGAAGAATACAAGTTTTATGAAATTCCAATTTGTTTTTTCTAAAAGCTCATTGGCAACAAATACTGTCAATTGTTTCTTTGAAGTGATAGGTTCATTTTGTTCGGTTTTGAGGAAATGTTCATCATAGAATCACATGTGATTAACCATGGTTTGTCTGTCAGTCTTATCAAGTAAAAACAATGTTCCATGAAAAAAGTGTCAAGGCCAGCTCACAACTCATTCACACACATACTTTTCCTTGACGCAGCAGAAGTGCTTTAAGTGAATTTCCCATTTTGTCACATAGAATAATAAAATGGCATCCACATAAGGGCCAATAATTAATAGAATTAATAACTTGGGCTGTCTCATTAAGAACATCCTTAAGTGATGCTGGATTGTGTTTTTACTGCAAGTGCATGATGATGAAAAATACAGCAGTTATGAGTAGAGTTTGGTGCCAATGCCTTGGTTCATGCTGTGGTGCAAGTGGTTTTACCATCTTTGCTTTTGCATCCTTAGTGCAAGTGTCAACATGGTAAAAAATGCAAATAAAATCTTGATTTTTTTTTTTGAAGATGACTGGTAAGGGGATCTTAACCCATAGCCTTGGTGTTGTCAGCACCACACTCTCCCAAGTTAGCCACGGGTCAGCCCAAAATCTTAATATTTTTATAAAAATAGTCTAAGCCAGCAGATCCCCTAGAAGGGTTATGGGGACCACACTTTGAGAACTGCCTTAGATAGATCATTTAAATACCTTGAGCTTCAGTTATTTATCTGTAAAATGAGGATAATAGCAGTGTCTTCTCTGACACTACCAGGGTGGTCAGGAAGTTTGAAATAATGCTTGTAAGGTATTGACACATTGTACTTAATAGTACTTGATAAAGGATAATTATTTTGGGGCAGAATAGAAGTAACACAGTTTAGTGGCTTATGTATTGGGAAACTTAGTTTCTGATTACAGCTCTGCCCAATGCTAATATGAACTTTGACAATTCCTTAACATCTCTAAGATTTCATTTCCTCATATACAAAAGGAATATGAACTGGATGGTTAAAGAAATCTGCTGCATTGAAATTCTAGGACTTTAAATTCTTCTCTTTTTTTGTAATATTTTTTGTGTAAGTAAGATAAAAAAGGATTCAGCCATGTAGTTAGATCTCAGTGTTCTTTTCATTTTAGTTAAAATTAGTTAAAAAGTTTGTTCCTTTTTATTTTAAACTTCTAAACACAGAGTTCTACTGAAGTTTTCATAGTTTACTTTTCATATTTCAAGTGAAAGATGTAAAGGACTTCCATTTCTAGCCATGATGGAGTCATGGAACCAGATTTATCCTCTTGCTTTAAACAACTAAAAAACCAAACAAAATTTATTAAACAACAGTTTTCAGATATGGGAAAATAATAAGTACAGGATAGTGATCCCTGAAAGAAGGGAGATAAACAAGTTGAGCCCTACAATTGCCTCATCTTACTGACCAGTTAGAATTTCTAGACCACAGAACAGGAAGGGGGAAACCAAAAAGATCTGAGTGGTCTCCCTGAGTTGAGGAGACAGAGTTTACGGTTTGAGGAGTCCAAGATGATTAGAATTCATAGAAAGGGTCCCACAAGGGAGAGCTGAACAGAGAGCTCCAGAGATATGAAGCAGTTCTTCTGAGTCTTTATCTGAATACTGATTAGCACATGCATTTGAGAAAACTACCAAGGATAAGAAAACAACCATTGGAAAGAATCAGGTAGAAAAATTCCCAAAGCTCACTTCAAGCTAGGAGTAGCCAGAATGGAAAGACCTTCTTAGGTAAACTTCTCAGAAGAGTATTTCTTTAGTAGTGGGGCCAAATAGTTCTAGATGAAAGACTGTTGCACACCCACCTAACAAAGTTTAAAAACAAGCTTCAGAAGGATTATACTGTTTCCAAGTAACTTAAATGCATCCCAGAACACAACATAAAACATTTGAAGGAATAATAAATCCTAGCACCCAACAATGGAAAATTGACAATGTATAGCATAGCATCAAAACAAAAATTAACACGGGCCGGCCCGGTGGCGCAGTGGAGAGTGCGCCACTTGGGAGTGCGGCGGCGCTCCCGCTGAGGGTTCGGATCCCATGTGGAGACCGGTTCCCGCTCACTGGCTGAGCGCGGTGTGGGCGCAACACCGAGGGTTGCGATCCCGTTGCCGGTCAGTAAAAAAGACAAAAAGGAAAAAAAAATTAACAGACATGCAAAGAAACAAGAAAATATAACCCACAACAAGGAGAAAAATCAATAGAAAAAGACCCAGAAATAACACAGGTGATAAAATTAATAGACAAAGTTGTTAAAATGGCTATAATAAATTTAGTCCATATGCTCAAGAAGATAGAATAAAGCATAAACACAATGAGAAAAGAAATGGAAGAAATAAAAAAGGCCCAAATAGAACTTATAGAGATAAAAATGTTCAATGTCTAGATGGGATTAATAGTGAAATAGATGCTGTAGAAGAAAAGATAAGTAAACCTGAAGACACAGCAATAGAGCCTATCCAAAATAAAACACAGAGAGGAAAAAACCTGAAAAATAAAAATGAACAGAGTATCAATGAACTGTAAGACATCATCAGGCAGCCTAAAATGTGTTACTGGAACCACAAAAAGACAGGAAAGAGATGGGGATATAGAAAAAATATTTTTTAAAAACGTCTGAGAATTTTCTAAACTTGATTAAAACTGTAAACCCACAGATCCAAGGTGCTCAATGAGTCCCAAGCATAAGAAACACAAGGAAAATTACACCAAGACACATTATAATCAAATTGCTGAAGACCAGTTATGAAGAGAAAAATCTTAAAACCAGCTGGGTGGTGAATATTACATACACAGGAATAAAAATAGGAATGACAGCAGACTTCTCATCTGAAACAGTGCAAACCAAAAGACATTGAAATGACCTCTTTAAAAAACTAAAAGAAAAAGCATTAACTGCTAACCAAAATTCTATACTCAACAAGAACATTTTTTGAAAGTAAAGTGAAATACACTTTTTTGGACATAAAAAAGCTGACAGAATTCATCAGAAGACTAATACTACAAGAAATGTTAAAGGAAGTCCTTCAAGCAGAGGGATAATGATAACTGATGAAAATTTTGATCTCTGTAAAGAAATAAAAGGCACTGGAAATAGTAAGTATGTGGATAAATATAAACCACTTTTCCCCTTATTTTTAAAAATCCCTTTAAAATACTTAAAAGATTGTTTAAAACAAAAACAATAACAAAGCATTGCGGGGTTTATAACATGTGAAAGTAAAATATATGGCAACAGCACAAAGGTGGTTGGGCTGGTTAGCTAAGTTGGTTAGAGTGTGGTGTTATAGGGGCCGACCCGGTGGCGCACTGGATAAGTGTGCCGCTTGGGAAGCGCGGCGGGCGCTCCCGCCCGAGGGTTCGGATCCCACATACAGACCGGTTCCCGCTCACTGGCTGAGCGAGGCGCGGGAGCAACACCGAGGGTTGCAATCCCGTTGCCGGTCCCCGGTCCGGTACGGGGGCAACACTGAGGGTTGCGATCCGTTGCCGGACACGGAAAAAGACAAAAGACAAAAAAAAAAAGAGTGTGGTGTTATAACACCAGGGTCAAAAGTTCAAGGGGATGGGCCGGCCCGGTGGCGCACTGCTACAGTGCGCCGCTTGGGAGTGTGGCGGCGCTCCCGCCGAGGGTTCGGATCCCACATACAGACTGGTTCCCGCTCACTGGCTGAGCGAGGTGTGGGAGCAACACCGAGGGTTGCAATCCCGTTGCCGGTCCCCGGTCCGGTACGGGGGCAACACTGAGGGTTGCGATCCGTTGCCGGACACGAAAAAAGACAAAAAGGAAAAAAAAAAAAGTTCAGGGGGAAAAAAAAAACAACACCCAACAACAAGCAGAAAAATCACAAAGGCCAAGAGGG